GGCTTAAAAACTAAACTCCCCAAGTACAATCTGACTGTGGTGCATGCATTAGCATTGACTCACATCTCCATGTGCAGTTTTCTCAGATTACTAAACTCCTGTTTGAACTAGAACAGAGGTGGATAGTCACTGCCAACTGCAGGACTGTGACAGAGAGAACACCAGCATAGATACCGAACTAGGAACCTGCACACATTGGCTAACTGGAAAGCTTTCCAACTTTTCACATTCCAGCTAGAATCTACCAGTAGTTGTAGATGACTGGGGAAACTTCCAGAAATTCCAAATTGTTGCAAAAGGAACAGCAGTATAAACTGAAAAAATCTGTGCTCGTAGACTGACTTTCAGAATTTCATCCAGCATGAGTCTACCAGCACTCGGCTGGCCAGAGTGACTTCTAAGGATTCAGTATCTGGCATGCATCTACAAGCATCTCAGCAGCTGTAGCTAGCAGAACAAAATCTTGCAAACAGAGAACAGCAGAGCTGTAGAAAACATGTCATTTCTCCTATGGACGCCATCACAAAACTGAAACATGCAGGTAGTGGGTGGGGTTATCCTGTGTAGCTTACAGTTTTTTTTGTTGCCAGTGTCTATTTAGTTGGCAGTATAACCATAAAGTAGGGATGCACCGATACGTGTTTTTTACCGGAGAGTATGAGTACCAATACTTGTGCTTAAGTACTCGTCGATACCAATTACGGATACCTTTGCAGTGCGATTTGAGCCCATACCAAATGAATAGGCTCAAATTGCACTGAAAAGAATTGCATATAATTTGAACAGGAATGCGGTGAGATTCTTGTCGGTTTTCCCACACTGCAAGCCGCCAATTGTGTAGCAATGTTAATTCAATAAAAGGATTAAAATGAGACAGTATTGCATTCACAGACATTGCTGGTGACAGGCATAAAGCAAGCTCAGTGTGAAGCCCTCAGTGCAACGTTCAGTTTCCATTAGAATTACAAATCACATGCAATTCTTTGCAATACAATTTGAACCCATTGATTTTGTATGTGCTCAATGTATTGGATGTAGGTATCAGAGCATTTGCATGAGTACAAGTACTCATGCAAATGCTTAGTATCGGCACCAATATCGATACTGATATAGGTATTGGTGCAACTCTATCCTAAAAGTTAAGACTAAACGTGTTCCTCAATGGAGGTGAAAAAAAAAAAAGTTTTGCCTAGTGTTTTACTTCAAACTAGGCCCAAAGTCTCCAGGCCTCATAATAATCCATCAATGTTAATGCTTGTAAAACGAGCACCTGCACCCTATCCTGTCTCACAATTAGAATTTGCTTCTCAAGGTAGGGGTTCCCCTTGGGGACAGATGTAACAAAAACAAGTGCAACAGGGTGTCAAGGCTATTTTCTTTAGTAGTTAAGCAAACTCCAAATCACCTACTTTAAAAAGTCGATCCAATCACTAAAATCTTCATTTAAATTTTTTCACAATAATTATATTCCAAAAGCTGATTTCAGTCTTTTTAATTATGCAGCTTTTGTACTTGATGATCCTACCATGAAGGTCCTTATTAAGCTCCTGTAAGGGTATTAACTGTCTCCCAATTATGTCCCTGCCTTGTCTAACTATTACATCCACCCCTGGAAGAGACTACAATTGAGAGTGCTGACACACATTGCACAGATATGGCCCACTGTTGTCACTATCAGGAAGATGGTCCTGAGCAATGATGTGCAGCCAGTACTGGAGTGAATGCATGTAGATTGGCTGAAAGAGACTGAGGAAGATTAGCCCTGAGATGCAGAAAGGGTTAAAAAAAAGGCAAATACTGTATTTTATGAAAAAGACCATTGCTGATAATACACTAAATATTATCTGTAAATAGTAAAAGCGAGCGCTGAGTTATAAAAGCAGTTATTGCACTGAGGTAAAAACCAAACTCCTTCAGGTAAAATGTGTAAAAAAGTGCAGAGCTAAAAAATATTATAAGGGCAGGTATGCAACTAAGCAAATACACATATATGGATCATAAAATGTTAACTCTTGAATTAATATAAAAAGTTCATAAAATCTTCAAAGGGAAACGCACCGCAGTTATACCTGTGTTTATGTCATAAAATATTAAAAAATGTCAAAAAATATAAACACAGTTCATCCAAAGTGATCTCCTGATGACACTATTATTCCCAGTAAACTTGATATATTCAGGTGGTTGTGCAAGAAATGGATAAAGTGCGCACTCACCAGATGCGCTTATAATTAGCGCGTTGTATCATATATAGGTGATCTGCCAGGTATCCCTTCTCAGGGTAGGTATGGATACAGCCTGGGGGTAGTCGGCTCTCCTTTTGGTTACAGGAAAAGACAATCAGCCGGAATTCCCTTTTAGGAAATGTGTGGGTCACCCTCTTTCAGGCACTGGGATGGTCATCAGGGGATAGCTGGGAAATTAAAGTGCTCGGTGCAGAGCAAAATAAGGGGGGATTCCCATAGTAGTATTTTAAAATTAGAATGCTTTAATAGTAATATATATTAAAAGGTCAAAGGTAAACATACACTGTGGTTTGTGCAAGAGAAAATAGGCAATACAGTGAGATTGATCAGTAAAACACTGACCAGCTGGTACCAAAAAAAGGCCACCAGACCTCCGTGATCCAGCGGCGTAACGTCTGGGCGTGCAGGGCTCCTTCCTTGATGCGTTTCGAACAAAGGTTCGTTTTCAAAAGGGGTGTGCTCCATGTGCAGCCAGACGTCATTATACAGCTTTATATAGCCTCAGAAATCGCGCTGTAATTGATGAGTGCCTAAATATTATCTGGTTAGGATTTACATCTACCCTAACTCCACTGCTTTGGCTCACCTTTCTGTGGCAAAATGTTTTTGTATGCACTGATACTTTAACTAGTAATATGAAAGTAGTTTGAAAGTTTCAGTAAACAATAAAGCTCCATTCACACTAAGAAGTTTGAAATCGTGGGCGGAATGGCCGCGATTCTACCGTGGTTTGAAAACGAGCTGTGAAAATGCGCATTCGCATTCAGGTGGCATTCATTTTTTTGGGCACCTTTTTTGGGCGTTGTGCGTCCTGCGATTTTTGCATCTGGCGTGTCATCAAAAAATTTACAGGATCGCGGCAGAAATGCTTTGTGTTTTCAGGTGCCATTGAAATGAATGGCACCTGAACATGCGAATGTGCGTTTTCACATTTTCACAGCATGCCTTCAAATTGTGGGCAGAATCAGAGCAATTCTGCCGACGATTTGAAACGCCTAAGTGTGAATGGAGCCTAACAGATAATCAAAGCAATGAGTTTCTGTGTGTTTAAAAAAGGCAAATAGTGGAGATTGGGGGTCATATGGATGGAGGAAACCATCAGTCTTATTCCAAGCTGACATCCACAGCAACCAATACGATTTCTTATTACTGAAGCTGGATACATGAAACATTTATTCTGTTTGGTTGTTGTGTCTTATTGCACATGGCACTTTGTTCAACAGAATAAGACTCTTTTATTGGGGCACAGCTGCCATTCGTTCACTACAGCGCATTTGTTTTATAATTGATATGACATGATGGAGAATTGTAGATGTTTGAGGTATTTGTGTTGGGGGTCCCTTATTTTGCTTTTCTTGGAAAAAGCTGCTGATTTGCTCCAATTGGGAGAGGGAGCACATGAGGGAGGGAAATTTGACCATTGGAAGGTTCTTTCAGGAGTTGGAGCTCTGCTGTGACAACCTAAGGAGAGAACATGTGCTCTGCTGTGAGGGAGAAAAACCATCACAGTGTACTGGCTTTCTGGTGTTCCCTACTTTGGGGAACATCGGCAAGCCAATACATTGTGGTATTGTTTGCTGTGTGTTTCCTGGGGTGATTGAATTTCACATTTGCTAAGACTTTTGCCTCCTGAAGTAAAGTTATTGTTTATTTTCTGCATAACCCAATTGTCTGGAAATCTTAATAATTCTGAAAACACCATTTATCCATTTCAGCGGTCCCTCACTTCCACACATACACCAGAATGTACCACGGGCTCCACTGCCTCTTATGTGTAGAGTGGAGGGAGATCAGTGAACATCTATTCACTGATCATTCCTCCGGTGAATGAACATGGAAGTGAAGAGCATTCTGTCACTCCAGTTCAGCACTGTCATCTTTGAATGGAAGGTGTGATTTTCTTACTTCAGAAAGGTACTTAATATTGTAAGAAATCTGAGACCTTCAAGAGCTTTGTGGGAGCAGTAATGAAGCCTGAAAGACGTGAGAGTGCAGCGGAAATGTGAGGTATACAGTGTCAGGACTGCTACCGAGGAACTGAGAATGGAAATCAGAAGAGGATCTAGGAATTCAATTAAAACTAAATGCAAAACATTTTTCGAGATGGATTAGAACACCTGTCAGGTTTTTATTGCTACCTCTGCCAGTCTTAGGGAGATTCATCCTCTCTATTTGCCGTTATCAAAAATGAAAGCAAAAGAAAATCCCAAACTTTGTGTTGTCCCCAGGATAGTAAGAGGGGAAATCTTCCAATGGGGACACAAGTTCTTGTGACCTGGGGACCCCAATAGATTACCCTAATTTGCATGGATTTCTTCCCACTTTACATTTGGCTATGGCACAGGAAGAAAAAGGTAAAATTCCCCCGTGGGACACAGATAGCAAAAAATAAAACTAGCAAGGATAATAACCCTCCCTTACTCTTTCCAAAATAATAAAAAAAAAGTTTTGCCTATAGTTCTACTTTAATCATGGTAAATAGTAATTATCCTATCTGAAAAAGGGAAAGCATCCTGGTTATGCTGCCCTGTTCAGTGTGGACCTAGAAGTGTAAGTGAAGGGACAGTGAAATGAGCCCCTGATGTGAGAAGCAGAATGTCACTAACACTACTCATGTAGTAAACGTGAAAGAATATCACCGTGTGTCTACTTACTATCCACCTATTGCATTTATACTAGGCAGAGAAGATGTGACAAAAGGGTAAAAAACTAACTGAAGGCAGAATATAGGCACTAAGATAGAGCTGGCAGTCTCACCTGTCCACTGATTTGCAGTGCTCTCCACTTCATTACACGTGGTACCATCACACAACTCTCTAGACAATGGGCTGTTCTCGCTTGCATTGTAGAACCTGGTAGCTTCAAATGCTGTTGATGAGTTGAAAACATAACCAAGTAATCTATGCAATAAATAGTCACAATGATAAAACCAGCAGCTAAATACTGTATAATAATAAGCTATATAGCATATAAAAACTATTCAGGAACATAACTCTCTATACTTTTGGCCTATATAAAGCCTAATAGTGACTGCAAATGCAATCTTGCTACAGCAATAAAGTGATGATACATAGAGCTGAGAAAGCATTCTACCCAGTAAAGCCCTCACTAATAAGAACCTTGCTGTATATCAGATAGTTAGGGCAATACCAAAGAGGAATACTACCATACATGGTGTATCCAACAAGGCATCCGATGTTGTGGTTTCATTTTTTTTGGCTTTATATATTTTACAGTATTCAAGATTCTGAAACCTGAACATTTAACAGGTACAATTTGGAGAACATGTGAACAGAAGATCAGGTGGCAACCTTGCAAATCCAGAAAACAGATGCCCAAGAAGCACTCACAGACCTAGTACAGTTCACCTTGACAGGGAAAGGTGGAACCTGATCCTTAGAGCATATTTAAATTCAAAAACAAAACTTTTATATATTGCAGTTTAAAAGTCCTTAGATGTAGTTTTATCTTAGGGTGGCTACACCCACTCCTCCACTGTGTCTACGTAGCCATCCTTGAACAGTAGCACTGTCAACCTGTAGAGAAGGTAGTGTTTGATGGACTAGTAGATTTAACCACTTGCTTACCGGGCACTTTTACCCCCTTCCTGCCCAGGGCAATTTTCAGCTTTCAGAGCTGTCACACTTTGAATAACAATTGTGCAGGCATGTAACACTGTACCCAAATTAAATTTTTATCATTTTTTTCACACAAATAGAGATTTCTTTTGGTGGTATTTAATCACCACTGGGTTTTTTATTTTTTGCAGTGTAAAAAAAAAAATGAAAATTAAAAAAAAAAAAAAAGTTTTCTTTGTTTCTATTATAAAATTTTACAAACAGGTAACTTTTCTTCTTCACTGATGTGTGTTGATAAGGCTGCACTGATAGGCAGCATTGATTGGCCTTGATAGGCTGCACTGATGAGGTGGCACTGGTATGCATTGATGAGGAGGCACTGATGATGCTGCATTGATATGCGGTGCTGATGGGCACTGAGGCGGCAATGCAAGCACTGCGCAAACTGTTGGCGCTATATAAATCCTGAATGATAATAATAATAATTAGCATTGAAGGCACTGACTGGCGGCACTGACAGGCACAGATTGGCAGCACTGTTGGACACTGATAGGCAGTACTGTTGAGCACTTTTGGGGCTGCGCTCATAATCAGTGCCCTGATTATCAGTGCAGATGGCTGCTTTGACAGCTGCCGGTTACCTGCAGTACTTTCCTCACACTGTGGCAGCGTGAGGAAAGTAGTTCTGATAACCGGCAAGTGCATTTACTTAGTGGTCAGCTGTGATTGGCTTTTTACCATGTCACGTGATCAACTGTGTCCAAAGGACACAGCGATTACAGACAGTGCCAGATGCGTGCCACCAGGGGCGCATTCTGGGAGGATGTCATATGACGCTCTCCAAGAACTGGACGACAGTGCTGTAACTGCCATTCAGCTAAGTGGGTAAACAGACTTTATATAAGTGACTAACATATAAAAGACTAAGGCTACATTTGCATTTTTTCTGATGTAAATGACAGTGCCATGAATCTGCTGATTCTTGCAGCTGTTTCTGCCACCTGTTTGGAACATTTAGATGCAAAAAACAGATGCTCCTATAAGCAGCGATTTTAATGCTCAACGTTCAGTGTGCATGAGGCAAACTGGCAGCACCAACAGATGAAAAAAAGATATGCTTTAAGAACATATGCTTGGATAATGATCTTTCTTATACCACCAAGAACTGGTGGGAGAAGAAGTAGGTTCCCCTTTATGGGAATCATCGGGAATGACAGATAGTCATTCTTCCTAATGGAAGCAATGGTTGTGATGTAGACATACACAGCTCGAATTATATCTAGGAAATGGAAAGAGATCAGCTTCTGATAAATTGCAGCCAAACAGAGGGATGGAAAAACAATGTTCAGGTTTGGATGAAAGGCCAAAACAACCTTAGGAAGTAAAAAAGCTCAAAGCGTCAACACCATTGGACAAGGAAAGCAACCTTGTGTGAGAAAGTGGAAAAGAGAATACGACAGCCATAAAAGGGAGGCTTTTGAAGTACCAAAAGAACCAAACTGAGATCTCAGTCAGAGTCAAGGCGGGAGTACACAGGGTGACCCACATGGGAGAAACTCTGTAAAAAAGTTCTAATCAAGGAATGGGAAGCTAGTGGTCTTTGGACCAAGATCTGAAATTGGACTCTTGACAGTAATCAAGGCTACATGGTAATCCAGGCCAATCGGGTTGAGATCCCTCAGAGAATTTCCTGGGCTGAAATGTTGCCTTCCATGTGTGATGGTAGACCTTATGGGAAGTAGACTTTGTAGACTTTGGCATTGTGAGTATCACAAACTCAGAGTTGCCTCTGTCCCTGTAAACCTGGGCTTTATATCATTAAAGTCAGTGACCGTGAAAGATGGTAATCCAAGTCACAAGATCTGGGCAATCTAGAAGAGCCCATGGTGGGCCTGCCACAAGGCTGATCGGGTCAAAGTACCACATTCACCTTTACCAGTCCAGACTATGAGGATCACCTGAATGTCCTCCCTCTCGAACCTATGGAACAGAAGAGGAAGGAGTTTCATGGAGTAGATCAGGTTGTACTGTTCTCATGGAGCTACTACAGCATTTACTGTTTCCACCAGAGAATCCCTGTACCTGGAGACAAACTTGTTCAGTTTATTGTTAAATCTAGAAGCAAGGAGGTCCAATCTGGTGTCCCCAACCTGTGGCAAGGTCCTGAAACACCTAAGGTGGTCTGCCTGCAATTTGTCCATGTCTGAGATGACAACAGTGGACAAGGCTGGAATGTGAAGGTCGGGAAATGATCAGGACAAGATCCATTCTACCTTTCTTGCCACTACAATATTTGTGGTTCCCCCAGATAGTTGATGTGCACTAGGCGTGTGACACTGTCTGACTAATTATATAACACTCTAGTCAGGGTGTCCAGCATTGCAGGAACAACCAAATTACCTGAAGTTCCAGCATGTTGATCAGGAGACAAGATTCCACTAATATCAAAGTCCCCTGAACCAACAAGGTGTCCAGGACTCTTCTCCAGCCTGATAGGCTGGCATTCCCTGTAAGGATCTTCTATAAGACCAACTTATCCCACAACAACAGGATATTGTGTTGTAGGGAATCTTTTCTTGTGGAAGAAAAGTCTCCATGGTGACACAGGGCATGACAGAATTGGGCAGATTCCATGCAGAATTTCTGGAACTGAATGAAGACATTAAGGGCCTTGAGATCCAAGATGGGGCATTTGTCCGCTTTTTGTTTGGGAGCCGTGAACAGGTTGGAGAAGAACCTCTGGAACCATTCTGCCACAGGTACTGGGAAGATGACCACCGGCTCCATAAAATGCTAGTGCTGAGGGAACACTAATCCAGTTAGCTGTGTAAAAATATATGTGGTAAAAGAAAGGCTGTGGGAGTTCATAGGTGCACAGCAATAATTAGAAAATAATGTTCTAAAATATTTTCACAATTTATTGATATCAATAAAATTCCATTTAGAATAAAACCAATTGCACCAAACTTCACAATTACAAGATGCTTGACTGTTTATTGCGGTGTACAGATCATACTTCCCAACATGTTTTGCTTGACTTGGTCTTTTTCAGGGAAAAAAGGGTATCCATAATACAGTCTAATTACTCGCTACACCCTTAATTATCTGTGTAAAAAGATCAGCTCAGGTAAAAAGATCAGCTCAGGTAACATTGCCTTGGACAGATGGAAAACAACAACAGCTGGGACAATGCTCCAGTGTATGTCCATGCTAAGCAATTTTTGAAGCATTCCCATTTGTATACATGCCTGTATACTATTATTATGATTCTCTGCAAGATTAAGTGAGAATGCAACATTAAAAGATAATAAAACAAGAAGCAGCTTGCTGTCTCCAAAGATATTGCTGCCTATCCACAAGTTAGGCCTGTATAGCACTTACTTGGCTCATAGTAGTCATAGATTTTTACTGGAACAGGTGCAGTTTTTCCCACAACATATTCCCTGAATGCTTGCATCTTTACACATGTCATACATTGGCTTGGTATCTGCAAAACAAATCACATTCAGCATGGAGATGTGTATATACTGTCTGCTAAACAACCCTGGCAGCTGTTATATTAAAATGTCACAGACAGAGGTTTACAAGAGCCACTGTAGAAATGATGCTTACATACTTTGAGTAGGCTAGGCAGATACTTTGCTGCTACAGTCTCTAGATCACTGGATGAGGGCAAATCAAGAAAAGATCTGTGTATACACCAGAACATATGTACGAAGATTTTTTAAAATCTGCAGAGAATCATACAATTTCTGGCTTGTTATCAGTACTCAGTTCAAAAGCCTGCATCTCTGATGGTATGGGTTTGCATTAGTGTGTATGGAATGGGCAGCTTGAACAAATGGAAAGGCACCATCAATGTCAGGACCTGGATCACCTGCTGGTGGCGCTGTTTCCCAGATCATGAGGTTTTAGTTCTTGTGTCCACCAGCGGGTGTCTCCCAGCAGCCAGCAGTGTCCAGTAATCAGTCTTCAACTTCGACTTGATTACCGGGAGGGTATTTAGTCCCTCTTATGCTATTAAACTGCATGCCAATATTTTGCTTTGCTTTGATAACCAGATACTATGTGCCGGTTATCTTGCTCTTTTTCTGCATTCTGTTTCTTGCACCTTGCTGTCTAGAACTGCTCCCCTTGTTCCTGATATCCCATTCCTGGTTCCCACTTCCCATCTGTTCCCTGCATCTTCAGTTTACCCTGTTATATTGTGTTCCCCATATTTTTTACATATTGTATATAGTTTGTAGTTAGCGTTCCTGTTACTTAGTTAGGCATTTTGATTATATGGTTGTGGTTCACTTGTATTTTTATGTTTGCCGTGTTCTGTGGTGTTTGGATGTCTTTTGATTTACTATTAATAAATTTACTTTACTATATATGGTCTAGTCTCAGTTTCCTAAATGTAGCCACACAGATCTGGACATCTTTGCTGCTGACTCCTGACAATCGAAGCTGAAAGATACTGTATATCCAGGTTTTACAGCAGCTCATGCTCAGGCAAGAATGGGACAACATTCCCTTCTCAAAACTCCAGCAACTGGTTTCCTCAGTTTCCATACATTTACAGTGTTGTTAAAAGAAGAAGGGAAACATGGCCCTGTCCCGACTTTTCTGGAACTGGGGTTATACTTTTGACAGTTTTTTGTTGCCCTGTCCCAACTTTTTTGGGATGTGTTGCTGCCATTAATTTCAAAATTATCTTTTTTCCTAAGATGTGCATTTTCTCAGTTTAAACATTTCATATGTTTTCTATTTTCTGCTGCAAATAAAATATGGTTCTTTGAGATTTGCAAATCATTGCATTCTGTTTTTATATAGGTTTTACACAGCGTCACAACTTTTTTGGAATTGGGGTTGTAGAGAGGGTGAATCTCATGAGTGGGAACACAGACAGTAAACCTTGATAGTGCTTCTAATTTTGCATACCCTGTTCAAAACTAAAAAAGTTTAAAAATATGTTTTAAATGAATAAAAGCAATGTTAATGTGATACTAAAGCTTTTTTTAATTTAAAATAAAAAAAAGGTTTATAATTGCCTGCAAATCGTTGCACAGAGCGGACCCTTACCTCTTCTTTAACGATCTTCCACCGGTGCTGTCCGCATGTTCTCCATACAAGTGCACCCACAGCAAGCTGTGGGCTAACGGGGCACTTGCTCTGGTGTGCTTCCGAGCAAGGTCGTGTGTGTCCATAGTAATACACAGTGCGGCTCCATATGCCCCCACTCCCTCCTCACAGGATTTGACTAATAGGATCAGGAACCAATGGCTCTTGCTTCTGCCTGAGTCTCCTGTGAGCGCAGAAAGTGCAGGAAGAAGACCTGCAGCTGAGCACGGTGCTGGATCAATCTTGGGAGCCAGGTAAATGTTTAGGGGTGGGGGAGGGGGGGTGGTAACACCTAGCTTATAATTTTTTACCTTAACACAGGGAATGCATCAAGGTAAAAAAAATGTTTAAACTTTAGAACCACTTTGGGGTAGAAATATACTAATCTACTATATATATATATACTGTGTGTGTGTACATATATATATATATATATATATATATATATATATATATATATATATATATACACAGGGCTTGAAATTTCCACTCGCCTGCTCGCATTTGGTTAGTGGAAATAACATGGGGGCAAGTGTGTCCCAGGCGCCGCATCGGAGGGTGGGGGGCAGGTGCTACCAGCAGCACTAACCTGCCCCGAGCACTGTGTTGAGGGGGGGCGCACTGCTGGTGGCGCTCCTCAGTGACCAGAGTCATCGCAGTTTCACTCCTGTCACAGGGAGCAGCTGCTGACACTTGCTGGAAGGAGGACTAGGCTTTCTCCTCCCTCCTGCCTGCAGGGGGCAATAGACAGCCGGCACTAAGGAGTGAAGGCAGAGTGTCCTTCCTCTCTCCCCTTGTCATGTGACTTATCACATGACCGAAGAAGGGAAAGAAGGAGAAGCTGCATTCACAAGAAGATCTGTGAGTACAAGGGGGAAGGGTGAAGTTACACTTATGGACACCTGATGTAAAGGGGGGCTCTGATGGGAACACCTTATATAAAGGGGGACTATGATAGGGGACACCTGATGTAAAGGGGGGGGACTCTGATAGGAACACCTTATATAAAGGGGGACTCTGATGGGAACACCTTTTATAAAGGGGGACTCTGATGGGGACACCTGATGTAAAGGGGGAGTCTGATGGGAACACTTTATATAAAGGGGGACTCTGATGGGGACACCTGATGTAAAGGGGGACTCTGATAGGAACACCTGATGTAAAGGGGGACTCTGATGGGGACACCTGATGGAAAGGGGGGCTCTGATGGGAACACCTTATATAAAGGGGGACTCTTGATGGGTACACCTGATGTATCGGGGGACTTTTATGGGAACACCTTATATAAAGGGGGACTCTTGATAGGGACACCTGATGTATAGGGGGAATCTGATGGGGACACCTGATGTAAAGGGGGAAACCTGATATTAAGGAGGACTCTGATCGAGACACTTATTTTCATTTTATGTTTACATTGTTTTATGTTAACAACTTGCCCTCTAGACTCTATTAAGCTATTGCTGTTATGTTTAAATTGACATAATAAAGCTATGTTATAATTGCTGTTTTTTATATTTTGGACTCTTTATTCTAAAGAAAAAGTAATTTCATAAGCTTAAAGGGGGTGTGGTTGGGGGCAGGGCTGGGGGTGGGGTTGGGGACAGGCCTGGGGTGGGGTTGGGGGACAGGACTGGGGTGGGGTTGGAAGCGGACCTGAGCAAGGTTATATATATTCTAGATTGTAAGCTATAAGGAGCAGGGCCCTCAAATCCCTCTTGTATTGAACTGTATTGTTGCTGTATTGTCTCCCGTTATATTGTAAAGCGCTGCGCAAACTGTTGGCGCTATATAAATCCTGAATAATAATAATATATATATATATATATATATATATATATATATATATGTCTGTACATATTGCTGGGTGTTGTATTGCAGAACACTTACCTCATCAAAATAGAAGAGAACTTTTCTTCCTTCAACCTCATAGCGTTTAAGACCAATCTGTTTATTGAGGAGCAACTGCAAGGAGATAAGGCACAATAAGCAATAATAGGATTATTGTATTTACCATAAAATCTTTTTCTTAGAGTACATTGAGGGACACAGGAATTCAGAAACAGTAGAGTTTTACTGCCACCTGCAGAAGGTTATCACATAAATAAAACCTAAGCCAGCCCTGTATAACTCTTACTCTGCTCAGCATGCCTCAGTTATTGAGAACATAGTACTAAGGGTAAAAGTAACAACACAATAGAATAAAAAAAAAAAAAAAAGAAACATTAGTATTTTCTTTAATGTTCATTGAAGGACACAGAATGCAGGGTACTATGCACTGCATCTATAAAGTTTTAAAAGACCCCCTGCAAATCTTAGTCCACTTTGGGGGACTGCGGGAGCCACACACAGCCTCATCAGACAAGGACAAGGTCCTTTTATCTACACTGGATGGAGCCCAGTTAGGCTTTGAAGAGGATGATCCTATGACAATAGGAGGTCCCAGGTTTTGGATTATAGGCATTAGTTCCCTGGGACACCGCGATACCCTCTGAACCACTAGGTTAGTATGGGCTGAGGGCAAGACTTTCCATTGTGTGTCTTAGCAAAGATGCATTGCCTCTGCACACCAGTATGCAACTAGGCCCAAAGTGAGGCAAAGACTCAAGTACACTCAGAGACCTGGGCAGCTGGCACTAAAGAGGGTTCAGACAGATGACAATACCAAGTTACTGTAGGTGGGCAATGGACTAAACCAAATCCATGTGGTGCTTTAACAGCAGCAGAGGCATGATGCTTTCTCCAGCCTGAATGGACAGGAAGAGAGTACAAAGTATGCGCAGCATTCCATGGATTACATCAGTGTTCAATCCCTCAGCTTTAACACTTGGCAAAGTAAATGGGCACGGACAGGAATTTCAAAACAATGCCCAATGATGTAGTGGTGAGATTGCTTTTACTGCCTTAGCTTGGCTGGCAATACGCTCTAAGTGAATCTTCTGAGATAGGGTCACATCTGGGCCAACGTCACAGGTTTGGGCAAGAAAAACGTTCTGTGGCTAACAGAGGAAACAAAGTTTGGAAAGTGACACAACGCAGAGCCCAGTGCCTGAAGGTCACATGGCAGGCTAGCCTGACACTTTCAGTCCAGTGGGGTTCAGGTACGGCTCCCAAACACAGTGCTAAGCAGCCGGTAATCCAAACAGCTGCTGTATAGAGACCAGCTCAATCAGCAGTGTATCAAGAAACCTTGATTTAAACCACTGATGAAAATCACCAGCAGTGTAGCAAGGGTCTTAAGCCAATAAGTGAAAAATACCATGAAGTTAGAGCAAAGCCGAAGAAAAAGTATCCAACTTCCTAGGATACTAGCAAAAACAGGAGGCATGGTGGATAGAGGAGCCATTATATGGGGTTGGCTTAAGTTTTTTCTGCTTGCTGGTGTCCCAAACTGCTGTAAACAGCAGTATAACCCAACTGTTTCTCAATTCCTATGAATTAATATAAAAAAATAAAGCTAGCACATTAAAGCGGTTTATGAACGAGAGAAGGTATACCAATTATTTTCTTTGCCAAAGATCCTAGTGTAACAGCGTATACCCAGAGATGGACGTGGTTCAAACATTTTGGCTTCAACCTTCATCTTGGCAAAGGGATTAACCATCCTGACAAATATATTTCTTCCTCATTTTTCACCCCTCCCTCCTTAGAGAGGCCCAGCGACATTTGGCCAGTATGTGTGTCGGGAATGTCACAGTAGGGACATAGGAGCTATAAAGCCCCCCAAGGGAGCCGGGGCCTCCTTGTCCAAAGAACCTGCAAATTTGAACACCTCGTAAGAGATAAGGCAAGCTTTCCCAGGAGTTGAAAGAGATTCCAACCTAATAAACCTAACTCAGCGTAGGTGACAGAACCAGATAAACACTTTTCAAAATCCATTTCTCCCCTACGTCTCATATCTTGGAATATGAGAGACTTACATAAAAACCAGACCTATCGTCAGATTGGCCACGAGAAGGTGAACAGTTTGATAGGTCACTCGCATTGTCTCGGATACATAGGAAAACAGAAAAGTAGATCTTGTGAACCGTACAGTGTATAATTTCATAATTCATATCTAATCAATCCTCAGACGTGTCTGCATAATAATCTACCCGCGGGTGGAATGTCACTTGTGCAGCTGGAAAGTTATGGGCCAAAATATGAGTTAAGGGAGATTTTGGCTCTAGTTGAGGTATCCACCCATACCTCTATGCCCTAAGCGGGGTATTGGTCTTTGACTTCAGAGACACCACCTGCTGGGGACAACAAAATAGGCTATCAGGCCTAAGAGTGGGAGTTGAAGACGTCTCCCATTTTAACATCAGTACCACCTGGGGAGACCCGTGCCCTTTAGCTCTGAAACTTGGATCTGCTAACCCAGGACTTTGGCAAGTACCTTAACCCTTTCACCTCTCTCTGATATCTCTTTGCTGTGCTGTTAGTCTCTGTATATTTATATATATATCTTAGTTACATCTTTTTCTGTAAATATTTTTATTGCACCCGTTTGACCTTTTAGTAATAAATCTTTCCTTCTGAAAGTGTTGAACTGTTTCTATAGAACTTTATTGCAGTTTACGAATTCCTGCCTCTAAAGAGAACGCTACTGTGTTTGTTTAACTCTCTGCATAATCGGCCTTCGGTGACCGTATTATGCAGACTATTATCTCAACCATTATAGTGTTTTAGCTGATATTGCCGAGTTTCCTCTTTCTCTGTACAAAAAGGAGGTGCTGGCAGTGTGAAGGGTTAATTGCGTAATTAACCTGACCCAGTAACAATCGCTCAGGCTGCCGGTACATCGATTGTGGTCCAATTAGCTGGAAAATCGAAAATTGTTGTGCAGGGTGCAGCATTGTTATGCACGTGACATCGCGGTTTTAGATCGGCTAGTCTTTCGGTCACGAGTTTGGTGAGAAGGGCTGGGGTCTGACGCCGCGATCGTGACACCTAGCATTCGCTTACTTACCTGTATTTGAAACTTCAAATTTTTAAGCCTGGGATTTCCACATTTTTACAAGATTTACACCCTTTGCATTTTCTGTTCTAGAGATCCTAGTATCTGTACTTCTGCTTTGAACATAGATTTAGATTGTAAGCTCCACGAGCAAAATCCTCAAATTCCTTCTGTACTGAAATGTATTGTAATTGTACTGTCTCCTTTATATTGTAAAGCGCTCACAAACTGTTGGTGCTATATAAATCCTGTATTATAATAATAATAATAATTTATTAGAACAGAAGTAACCTTTTCAAGTACAGCTTGTTTATTCTGCCACCTATCATGATATTACTGAAATGATGCAAATTTACACTGTGTATGAAAAAACAGTGAGCTTATATAATGACTATGAAAAGCGGTGTCATGTAAATAAATTGGAATGCTTGTAATGCTGGCACCAAAAAATAGATGGTGACAGACAGCTATTTTTTTAAGCTCATGAGCTGATGCACAGAAGTAATTTGAAAGATTTCTCTTACTGGCCCCAAAGACTCCTAATGAGGCCAATAAAAGAAAATTCCTCTCCCTGCTGAGAACCCCACACATTTCCCGGATATATCTTTCCAACAGGGCTCCGTCTGGACTGTGGAATGCCCAGGACGCCTTGTGCCATGGGGTGCTGGAGACACCAAACTGCAATGTTCCCCCTCCATATTAACCACTCCATGCTCAATTAGCTAGAAGCTTGTCCTGTAACATCTTCAGTGCTGGATAGAACAATTATACAAACTAGAACCAGGTTTAGGAAATTTCACCATCTCATGAATTAACTTGCAAGATTCGCACATATTTAGGTGGGAGAGACATGGGTTAGCAGGTGAGTCATTTGCTTGCAGTGAACAGACATAAGTTTTAAAGGATAATTAAAGTAAAAAAATTTACATTTACTATTTTTTTTTGTAGGAGCTTGAAGAGAATTTCACTCGCGATCAGCAGATTGTGGGTGCCATGCAGGACTATAACAGACTGTCACTGTAAGTTGTCTGCCCCTACATTGTACGGCCAGGCAGTTCACACTGATAGGAAGAATTAATGAACTACCAGAGAGCTCAACAGCACTCTGGTAGTTCATTGAGAACTACAAGCCAACAGTCGCTAAGGCTGTCAGTACTTGTAGATTCCCATTCACAGAACTCTGTGAATGAATAACGCGGCCAGCAGGCCCAGCCCTGCACGGGTGCGCTTTTTAAAAATTGTGACAGCGAGAGGGGGGAAAAGATCCCCCGCTTGCAGTCACAACAGGGGATTGGGGGGTGCGGGGGCCGGTGCTACAGTAATATGTTACACCATGAATATGGGTGTAACATATTACGAAAGGTGAACTTATTCATTAAGACTACAATTAATCTTTATTTTGTTTTAGTAATTTAAATCTTAGTCGACATCTTAAGGCACTGAAAGATGTTTACAACCAAAATATCATTTTCATGTTATCCATCACATTTTAGCCAGGTTGGGCAAATGTCTACCAAAACCTGCAGACACCACCAACTAATACCTGCAGGTATTAAGGTCAAAAGAAAACCTTGATCACTATTTTTCTCATGACACCAGTTTTGCATTTCCATGCATCCTCTTCCTCTTTGCTGGACACAATAAACATGGTCACTTAGACAACCCAAGTGCTCATATTTATGCTTGGACAACCAGATCATGCTTGCTCCCCCAGCCTTCCTGTGACATCTACATCTACAGTCAGCAGCTCAAAACTCCTGTAGTGCTTTTCTTATGTTTTTTTATCAGTACAGTGTGTAAATATGCAAACCTTGTAACAATAAAGTTAATTTAGCACTGCAACACTTAACTACTCAACAGTAATTTTGTATCCAACCACATAACTTTTCATTTTCAACCATGTTTATTGGAAAAGAGAGTGTGAAATATTCTTAAGTATACTAGACAGCTTCTGACTTACTAACTAGAAATGTTTTGTTCCACAATCCTAAAATTTGAGAAATATAGGATATTAGTCAAAAGTGAATAATAAGCTCACAGAGTGACTTATTTACAAGGGATATCACTGGAGAACTTGAAATGTTAAACTGAGTGATAGTGCTCATGAAACAAAATTTTTTACTTTGGGACATTGTCATATATGGAAATGGAAGCCTCTTTGACCTGACTGGTCTCCTGTTTGATGGTGTCAGAGCATACCCAGGTGGATGACACTGATCCCCCTCCTTCCCCAAGTGACACATTGTTTGGGCCTGGTGAATGCTTGATTAGGCCCCAGTGCTGTGACATGTGGGATGTCACATGCTTCAACATACCTGGAAGCCCCCAAAAGTGTGGGGCAGGGAGGGGAGAGGAGGGGATGAGACCATAGATTGGTGAGTATACCTTACAAGAGGGGTAAGCTATTAGGAGGCACAGTCACTTTACCCATTCAGGGTCTCTTTAAAGAGGAGTTCCAGGCTCCCCCCCAAATAATGTAGCTGCTGACTTTCAACATAAAGACACTTACCTGTCCAGGGGTCCAGCGCCATCGTCACCCAGGCTAGTTCTTCACCATCCTCCAGGGTTCCAGAGGCAGCATTGCAAGTAAGGGAAACTGGAAGTGAAACCTTGTGGCTTCACAGCTGATTTAATACTGCGTATGCGCGAGTTGCGCTGCGGTTTGTGATTGGTCCCTTACTCTTCTGGGACCTGTGAAGTGTAAGTGACTAAAGTAACTTTAAAATGCTGCTGTTGATAAAGAATATGACTCTTTAACAGTTTCTGCTAGTGCTGAAGCTTGTCTGTCCCTGTACACTTCCCGCATATTCCTATTGGCCACTGAGGTAGCCCATTATAGCGGTGGGCCAATAGGCATGTATGACGGCAGTACAGAGAAGGCAAGCTCCAACACTTCCAGGAACTGTTGGAGCTTTTCCCAATGAGAACTGTTCTGCCTTTGAAGGCACTGAAAACTACTGCACGTATGTGCAGGCACCTCTGGGCACCTGTTTTTCAGGTGTGTCAGTAGCTTAATTTTTTGATTTGCTTTGATTTGAAAGCTGAACTTATCTAAGCCTTACCTTATGTCTTGAACAGTTGTAAAGGATCCTCTCCTGTACTGAAAATGCTTACTTTTAGTTTACTGTACACTGTGAGCTTCTCAGAGAGCGTATTAGAAGTTTGTCAAGTTAGACAGACCCTGGCTGGAGGACACCCAGCATCATCTAGCTCTTTCCTCTCTAGCCTGACTTCCTTTAGACTCACTGAGGCACAGCACCATGTGTGGGCGTTGCTTAGGCTGGTGTGCATGCAAATGAATTCTGCCTAGGAACTACTCCACACTAACATTTATCTGTCAAGGAGTTTCGATATATGCATACCTCCTCCCAAGAGCCAGTCCACTGCTTGCATCAGGCAGAAGACTCTTGAGAGACGTACTGAGGCTGTGATAGTTTCAGGAAGCTATGTGCCCTGCTATCTCTTCCCACCAAACATTATCTGACTACATTGCACAGAAAAAAAAGGTATGTAATGAAAACAAAAAGAACACAGAAAAGGATGGAAGAACAAGGGAAGGCAAAACATAGGCTGATTAAACTTCAAATTTAAATTGAAATTGCCACTTTAAGGTTTATATTCTATATAACTGATCCCATAATGCCAATGAAAGAGTGAGTGTGGAACAGGCACTTTAGGAGTCTAAGCTTCCTGTCTAACACATTATTAAGGGTTTTAAAGCAAAGGAAAGAGCTTTGAACTAGCAGGTAAGGATTTCATACTCTTTTTCCGACTCCAATCAGTTTTTTTTCTATTCAGTGTTTCAGAAAATATTGAAGCCATAGATGAAGAACTTTTTTTTCAGCAGGAGGTCAGCAATGGCAGTCCACATGTTTCTCTGTAAAAACGTTTGTTTAAAACATATTATTCTACATGAGGACAGGAAACTTACTAGGATGAAATACCATAAATACCAATGATATTAATAATAATAAAAAAATCTATGGCAAATGAGATAGGAGTCTTTGCTATTTTATAAAATATATAGAAATCTTTTATTGAATTTAAAACTTAACATCAGGGTAGGTTTCAACCTAGCTAAGCAAAAATAAAGAAATGCTGCTGCCTATGGTAAATAAACAGATTCAGGGCTGGTTCACACCAAGATCGCAGAACATGTGCTCTCATGTGCGATTCCCAGGCTGTCAGTTTTACCAGCCCCTTCATTTTAATGCTCCGCAAAATGCACCGAACCAAGCAAAAAGTAGAGCTTGCACTCCTTTTAAATACACACTGCACAAAATCGCATGGTACTGTGGTAATATGTGATTTGGTGCACGCAAAGGCACAGTGTTTGCGATCTGCATTTAGGGTGCCATTAAGAATACACCTTGTCAGCACATACATTCAGTGCTGAAGGCACCGGAGTGTAAACATAGCAGAAATATATTTTGTTGTGCACAGGTATATTCAGTCACAGACTAGTTTTCACACGGTTTTGCTCACTGTGTTGGTTTTATATTAAAATAGATAACCTGCAACCAGCAACAATATACATCCAGAGCAACAACAGATCCCCCACCAGCAACAGTACATCCACCCAATCAATAATCCTCAGCATCCGGCATCAATAGATCCTCCAGTACTCAGCAATAATAGATGCTCCCTTTTTTTACAACAGTAGACCCTTTGCAACAATAGGCACATTCAGCAACAACCCCCCGCATCAATGGACTCCCCATCACACCCAAGCACCCCTTGCCAGCATATACATTCAGAACGGGAGGTGCTAGAATGTAAACACAGCAGAAAAATATTTTGTTGTGCACAGGTATTGTTCAGTCACAGGCTGGTTTTCACATGGTTTTGCACACAGTTTTTGGTTTTATAGTTAATATTCCTGTATCCTGATATATGCAGTGTTGCAATTTTATAAAAAATGTTTGTTTTATATTGTTTTCTAATTCATGGTCTTTCATGTTATCCTTACAAATTTCCACATATTACTTAGCACCACAAAATTATACTTTACAATACCTGTATTTTTTAAAAGTGTGGAAACTAGGAGGTGGTAGTGGGTGGGGACAAGGGACAGTGCTTGGAGATGGGTAGGGGTGGAGACAAAAGTAACTTTGGGTGAGTAACTGGGTGGTACACAGAACAGTTAAGTTGGTGCCCTGATTTTGCCCAACTGTAAATGGAGAAATAAAACCCAAGGTTCTATTATACAATGTTGAGATGAGGACTGAAGAGATCATCCACATCCTATCACTAGGTTCTTTGTCAGCTCATGTGCATACAGCTGTATGCTCCCTCTCATAGTCTGCTATACAGTGGAATACATGAGGCTGGTATCAAGTCAAATTCAGATGCTTACACTAGGTATGATAATACAGTTCATTATATTTTATTAAAGGAGAAGTACAGCCACAGCTCGTTTGGCTGTACTTCTCCTGTGGATCACATGAGTGCAATTTGTTCTGCACTCCTGTGACCCGTTTTCAGCCGACAGCGGGCTGCTGAAAAAGTCCGCTGTTGGCTGACGTCACTCAGCTGGTCCAGGCTGGAGAAAGATCCCAACTTTAAAGCAATCCGCTGGGAGCCTGAGCCAGCCGCTCCAGCCCCCTCCACAGCCCAGTGCTCCCAGTAAAGGGGGGGGGGGGTGAGTTGCTTGGTGGGGATCAGAGCAGAGTGACTTACTGACAGTTACCCACTCTGCTCACAGAGACAACGGAGATCAGCTCTTTGAACTGGCGAGGGACTGATGCTGCATCCACCTAGGAAGGTATGATTTGTAAAAAAAAAAAAAACCTCAACTTCTGTTTTAAATATTATACTGCGTTAATTAGTGCTATTTAATATGTGCACAGAGTTCAGCTTTAACTCAGTAGGTTTTTAAATCTGAAATGATTGGCAATCAAAAATAATGAATGCTCTCAGAAAGACTGCAAATATAATCCCAGCATCCCCAGTGATATATTTTGAAAGCCCTTATTAACATTTACATGAGCATGGTTTTCTAGATATACATCTCCTCTTGGATTAGGTGGTATTTTACTTCAAACATCCCTTTTAACCACTGAGGCAGGGATAATTTTCCCTGTCTAGTTTCCTGTGGTTAAACCAAGCAATTACTGTTCACATCCAAATTAAACAAACCATGTTCTTCAAGCTGGTCACATAAAGGAGATTTCCAAGGCGGGCATTATCTGACCCAATTAAGTCCAGATGTCTAACACCATGCAGCCCTCTAGGAAGTTGTAAAAACAGCTCCCACCAGAACGGATCAGTCACCCTGTTACTCCTAAAATGCACATAAAATTCCTTTAACCCAGCAGGGGAGCTACAGACTCTCTGACAATATGGTCCAGACTACCCTAACAAATGATTTATTCCCCTCTAGGCATGCTTTACTGAATTCTTCAAATACCAACATTTCAAAACATTTAAAAGAATTAGATGGTGAACAGAATGCATGCTTGTGAAAAAAAAGTATTACAGGGCACCAACATGAATCACAATTGCTGAGGCAGTGGAGTAATCAGCAAGCATGTGTGTAAAGCCAAAACTCCAGAATGCAACTTATATACATTACCTGTTCCAAACTCTCAACATCTGCTCGAAATCCTGAAAGCAAAGAAAGCTCAAGAACAGCCATATTAGAAGCACCAGAATGAAGCCACCTGGAAAAAAAGAGGGCATACAAGTCAATATTTCAATTCTCATTGTAGTTATACTTTCTCAATTCTCTAATTATAACTGCTTCTTCTGCATCTGCATCTTTATGCAGCAACATGAATATTTTGCTGCTTAAGATGGAAAAGTGTGAATAGACCCTAAAAGTTGTTTTGCATTCAAAATATCCAACCATCTGCTGATGTCTTTAACCAGCTTTAGTATAGTAAAATCTTTGCTTCTTTTACCTTAGTTTTTAAGATAATCTCAGTATGCTTTTTTAAAGCTTAGTTCCTACATGATTCAGTATATAAACACAAGTAATTTACAAAGCACTCAGAAAGTTTTTAGCATTTTGACACCCTTAAGGTTAATTGGTGGCCTTTTCATCAATAGTTATCTAGTGGTGAGACTCAGTTTTCTGACAAGTTATCTCAGGTGGGTGCAGACTAGGATTGAAACAGGCCTAAGCTCATCCCTTAGGTTTGGAGAGGCCTGCTCAGTGGATTACTACAAAAGACAAAAGCCACAGGTTTTACTATACAGTACCCTATAGCTCCAGTCTGGGCCTACTGGGCAGATAAACAAGGTTCTCCCCACAGGTGTACACTACCTTGTGCCCATGTGAGTAAGCCCTAATACAGGAGGTAAACAAGCTAATGCCTGTGTGAACTAGATCTAAAAATAGACAAAAAAAACAGTAACATATACCAATGCTTTACTTTCAGAGGCGCCTGATCTACACATGCATTTGATTTATCTACAATTATTACCTAAATGTTATCACTGTTTTCAGAAACTATTACACACCCGGAATGCACTGGGACATGCTACCTTATTCATATAAAGATGTCTTATATGAAGTAACCCAAAGCTATCTCTCTTGATGTCAGATCAATACAGGATGTTGTGTGATTAGCTGCTATGGGTTGCTATATTTAATATTTGATGAAAAATCCTCCTGCGCTTAAATGGAGTCCTGCCCTCAAAGCTGCTGACACTAACCTTATACCCAATAAGTGAATGAAACAATTAAATAATAAACAGTGTAACAAAACTAAAAATAAGTGAATAAGTGGTTGTAATACATAAATAAACTTAATACATGCTAAACAGTCCCCTTGTTATGCACACCGTGGAAATTTACATAAATAAGTCAATAAATAGTGTCATACGTGAATTCCCTCTCATAGGGAATATCCAGTGCACATAGTGAAATAAAAAACCATAATTCAATACTGTGAAAAAACACACAATAGTGCACATCAACTGTGAGCCAATAATTAGTTAAAAAAATTCCAAAATCCACGATGCTTATAGTGGTCCTCCCACTTCACTCTCATGCAAATATCGTGCTGTGTACGTGATTCACAAGTGCCAATCCTCCAATATCCGAAATGCCCCCTCACCTCCTTACTTAGACCCCAACAGGGCCACCTCGCTTTAGGGATCAACCGATCCTGTAAGAACAGACTCCTCTCAGGATTCAGGATTTTAGCAGCCAGCTCCTCCAAGGGTCATAATAAAATACAAGCAGAGACCCTCCATAGTGTAACCGATTTATTGAATAAGCATTTAATTTAAAAAGTAATGCACTCACATTTCAAACGTCTTATCTCCAGCTTTTTTACCACATGCTATTGGTGTACTGCATGGGTATCTGAAAAAAGGTGATCCAATATGGCCCCCACACCGGAAATGACGTCACCACGTTACCGGAAGTTACTCCCCGCGTACCGACGCGTTGCATCACGTTTAACACGTGACTTCCTCAGGAAATGGGTTTACACAAGTTTACATGTGTTTACACATGTTTACAAGCGTTTGCAATGCCAGTAAACTTTACTCCTGAATGTGCTTTCAAGAAAATACTTGTAAACTCAACTGCCTGTAAACTACTGTAAATGACTATATGTACATAGACATATAGGAAAACATAAAGGAGAGTTTAGTGGCTGCTGAAAAAACCACTCAACTTCTCCTAAACATCTGTTTAGCAGCTGCAGTGTACATGAGCCCTAAGTCTGGGCCAAACAAGTGAATCTTCTAGTAGATAGTCCAAAGACATGCTGATAGATTAATTGGCTCCTGTCTAAATTGGCCCTAGGATGAATATATGACATAGGGACGTGGATGTAAAATATGTAAAGTGTTATGTAAATTTTCCACGTTACAAAATACCTATAGTAGATATATAATACATTTAACATATACATTGAATATATTAACTTTTCTTATTGTTTTTTTTTTTTATATCTAATTTATTTACTATGAAACAATTATAATAAATAATTATGGCAGCTAAATTATTTCAGCATTTGATTTTACATTATACCATTCTACGTGTGCAGTGAGTTATATTTTGTCATACAGCCCTCAAGAGAGGAAGCAGACCCCCAAAACACATTGGCCTCCTTTTTAAATCTACAATAAATATTTTAGATTTCCACAAAGATTGGGTTCCTCTTGATGCCCTGCATCTCTTTGGATATAATCAGTGCCCTTCTAGTTTGACTGGAGAATAGTTTAAGTGCAGCACTCGTATCCTTGTAGGTGGTAAGTACCGTATAAGACTATGAGTGCTACACTATAACTAGAGACATGAATTCTCCACATATTCACATAAACTACGTACTATGACAAACTATTTTGCCTAATAATGAAGAAGGGTTAATACCATGCTTCTGCATAGGGATATGAGGAGCATACATACCACTGAAAAGTACCAGGATGTTCACCTCACAGCCTGGATCTCCATGCTGGCGTTACAGACAGCAATAACAGGTGTCAAATCCTAATCCACTCTACAAAATGCTAAAATAAAAGTTTTGTTACCAAACAAAAGAGGATTCACACCTTGTGCAAGCTTCCAGTATCACTTTATATTCCTGATGGTCCTGGTGGGATCCTGGATCATCATCATCAGGAAGAGCTCTCTCTCGGAGTCCAGCCTGCCGTCGATTCCTTTCTGCCCTTGGCTCTTTAAGATGGACTAGAAGCTGGAAGGCTGGTTTTGTCACTGGGTCAGGAACATTGTAATGGACATCAATCTGGAGAGAAACAATCAAGGTGATTCATGCACAGGGTTTATACAGAGGAATTCCAACACCAAAAAAAACTGAGGCAATTTCCCCATCCACACATTCAAGGTCAATGGGGAAATCTTTCCCAAGGTGTCTTTGTATTCAGACAGTGGGACTTCCCTGCTGTCAGAACACATGGATCAGCTCTGCCGCCCATTGACTGCATGTGCTGAGCGAAGGCTGGTTTTCCTCCAAGACTGTTTCGGCAGAAGATGGTCTAACAACCAGCTTCTATTGAACAGATAGGGCTAAACATGGATTGGAATTCGACCGACTAGTGGTGGACTGGCCGAATTTCTATAAATGTATGGCCAGCTTTAGGGTTTAGCAGAATTTACATAATTTGACTGCAATAAACAATATCTATACTTCCAATTGTGGCTCAGTACTCTACAAGAAATACAGCTAAATTATATATGTCACTCTCTCAGTAATCTGGAGTTAGGCAAACATGGTCTCACTAGTGATTTGCAATTTGAAGTGTGACCACGTGTACAGAATTCAAAATGGAGCCAGACCGGAATGCAGAACCTGACCAGTACAGCCTCATGCAAATGAGTGGAAACCACTGGCAAGGAATATTGCTAGTATTCTAAAAGAGCTGTAGCATCTGATCGGATGCAACTTAAAGATTAACTCCAGGCAAATAGCTAAATACATAGGTGCAACGCATACATGGCAGTTTGTTTTCCTACCAAAAGATTTATATCTTTATTCAGCCTGTCCTAATGTACACAGCCCTGCCAGACAGCAAAGCCAGTTTGCTGACCTCACTTTTTTTATTGGGCAATACAGTTTGATCACCTCCCTGCCCACACCCTTTGACTGGACAGTAAATGCATTATACTGATGTGTCTTTCTTCTGCTCGCTCCTATCAGCATGTTCCTCGTCAGCACATATGCATGTAGAACACATGCTGTGCAACCCCCTCTCATTCTTAATGTTGCTGTACAGGGCACCACAAGTGGAAAATCAGGCACATATACTATTTGCTTTTAAAGCCCACCTCCAGGAAATATAAAAATCCACCCTGCCTGTAACTATCTAGAGGCATTAAAAAGATCTTTTACTTACCTAATCCTCTGCTCCCCTAGCAGAAGGCACTCTCCCCATGCTCCAGCAGGGGGCTGTTCCTCAGCGACTTCACATTTAATGCAGGTATATGTACCTTGCATTGGTCTTGATGACATCAGAGGACCACTTAGCAAGGGGGGAGAAGAGGCAGCTGCGTTAAGAGAAGCCTTCAGGCGCATAGGATCAGGAAAGCAAATCTGCTTTACCAAATCCCCTAGACATAAACGAGCAGTTAACTCTTACAGTGCAAGCGTAGCAGCACTACAAAGGAACATTTTAGGGTTTTCTCAGCTTTAAAAAAAAAAAGTACCGTAATGATTTCTAATAAATACATACATGCAATAATTAATGTATTTGTTTCCTTGTTTTCAGTTTTAAGAGGGCAATGGTTAAACAGAGCCTGATCTAAGCGTGCAAAGATTGCTGCTCGTCACATAAGCAAAAGCATAGATATTGGTAACATGCGGACAGGAGGTATTAGAATGATTCAATTGCCATTTTCTCAGCACTGGAGAAGAATAACCGTATGTAGTGCCCAAAATAGTGTATTCCTAATATGCTTGTATTTAAAATTGGATTTAAGAATGATTTATTGTCTTCTGAAAAAACTCAGCAAAGATAGAATATATGTGCAGAAATTCCACACATATCAGTTCACTATCACACAAATAAAATTACTTAGTGTACGTAATTATATTGTACACATGTAGTTTATCTATAGCTACTGTTTTTTTATGCATGAACTGAACAGTGTGGTGTTGTTAATTATATAAAATTAGATCATGGGTGTACATGATACATGCCATCATTTAGGAACATTAACATTGAGAATATGTCTATGCACAGTATAACTTTTGAAGGGATTTGAATGGCCATGGTTATTTATGTATTCAACATTTAACATGCTAATGTATTTTACTATTTGGTGGATGTCCTGACCTTAAAATGAAAGAAGATACAATTAAATGGACATCGACTTCACAGTTAAACAAAGACCTACTTTCCAGTAAATGTTTCTTATTTTCTTATTCCCACCTGCATTAAACAGCAACCTTCTCCTTTTGCGCTGACAAACAACCCAGTTGGGATAGTGGGGATCTGCAAACATACAAAGCTATTTTATTTATAAGAAAATGAGTAGTAGAAACTAAAAAATGTCAGACAGGCGATCTTAATTACTATGATGGATGCTCCCCCTTTATTGAGCAACTTAGCATAGTAACAAATGGGTATTGTCATCTTCTGCTCTGAACATACCACAGCTTTCTGTAGGATCTTCTTGTTCAACCTGTGCAGTTCAAAGGTCTCCTGATAGTCCAAGTTGGTTGATGCCAATGATATTGTGAGGTTCATACCACCAATATAGGAGAGGATTGCATATTCTGCCAGAGCCTGAAGGGCCACACAGGTGTCCTAGGTAGAAGACCATGTTATGTATATATTTTAATAGTTTCTTTATCCAGCAATGTTTAAAATTATCAGTTGTTTACAGGTATAAAAAGTTAGGAATCACCCCTTCAGTGCATTGTCGTTCCATTATCTTATTTGCATACAGTACTGGAAAAGTTTTAGGCACCTATGAATAACTGCCATAAAATGAGAATGCCTTCAAAAATAAAGCAAAGTATAGCTTTAGTTTTCAACCACCTACAAAGTGCATAAACAGGAAAACATTTAGATACAACATACCTGAGGTGTCCACCATTTGCCAATCAATTCTCCTTGGTATACCTGGAAAGTTTAAAGAATTTGGCAAGTAGGCTATTCCAAACATTTGGGAGACCTAAACAGTTGTCTATATATTAGAGCTGTCTCAGTTGTTTCTGTCTCTTTATGTATTCCCAGACAGACACAATGATGTTGAGATTAGAGCTCTGTGGGGGGGGAGGGGTTTGGGGCATTCCAATTCCAGAAATCCTTGTTCTTCTTTTTGCTGAATATAGTTTTTATGACTTTGGCTGTATATTCAGGGTCATTGTCATGCTGTAGAATGAATCAAATACCTGGTATTGGATGTTGGATAAGTAAATGCCTGTATGTTTCAGCATTAAGGAGACTGTTCATATTTACATTTAAACACAATGTTAATTGATAAAAAAGAGAAGGTAGTGATGGGTAAAGGGTACTGGAAAGAAAAGAAGTAACCGTAATGTCTAATTCACATGGGTGGAAAGAGGGGTGGTAAAAACAGGTGGTTGATTTACATTTAGCCCCCTTGAGTGCCCACCTATAACCTAACATAGCAGTTGGTGGGGTTTATTCAACTGCTGCAGCTGCAAAGTTTTCCTTTGCAGCTGTGGCCAGTTTAACTTGGCATGTCACATTAAGCAGCCAGTATTGCCTACTGAACATCTGTAAACCTCTCCACATCCACAGTACAATGCTCTTCATAACAGGAAGTTACATACAGTATATGGGATAGCATATAGTAGCAGGAAAAAATACAAAAAAGGGAGAAATATTAAAGGACAAGTGTTTCATTACTATGCAAGGGAGCTAAGCCACACATCGTCCCATGTCCCATGACATCACTTCAGATATCACACCCACTTCCCTTTCATACCATTCAGATCAGAGTGTGCTGTCAGTCAAGCATTTGAACAGCTACGAGGCAGAACACATATCTGACTGACACCGTACTCCACTCTGAATGGTCTGGAGGAGAGGGCATGTAATAGCTAAAGCGATGTTACATGACATGTAACACACTGTGTAGAGTAATACATGACTTGCTTACTTGCTAAAAGGGAAGCATGCGCACTATGGTAGCAACATTGTAGATGGTCTGTATGCCTGCAGATCATTGTCAGCAGGAAGGAGGAGGCCCTAGTAATGGAAGGATTACTGTAACTTACTGTATTACAGGAAATATTTATATTAGAAACCAACAGCAGAGACAGGTAATAAATATACAGTACTTAAGAACCTTTTACAATATCAAACAGGTAACTACATTTTGCAAAAGCATGTTAGAAAGATTATGCAGCTGATTAGTATTAGGAAAAGTGACAATAGGGAAGAAGAGCTTATAGAAGTGGTGGTCAACCTTCATGATATAGGAGGCCTCAAACATGGTCCCTCACATCCCCAAAGGGCCACACATAACAGTCAATAGTGTAATGCTACAGGAAGCTTTCAGAGAGTGCAGACATGCAACAAGAGACAGTTAGAGACTGCCAACATGCTATAGGACTTGTTGAAGACTGTAAACAAGCTATAATAGAAACTGGGCACATGCATCAGGAAGTTGTCAAACACTAGGGACACATTATATGAGACTGGTAGAGATTACAGCTATTACAGGGTGATAGGAAACACAGATTAATGTATGTACAATCTCAAGTGCTCACATACAGTGTCAAAGGTCCGCATGTGTCCCCTAGGCTGTAGGTTGGGTGCCAGGGGCTTATAGCATATTAGCACAATGGATTAAAGCTGTCAGACTGGAATAACCACTGGGCGCATATAGGGTTTTTCTTTGAATCCCAGACAATTCTTCTGTCAGTTATGGCTGCAATCTTTCTTGGTCTACCTGACCTTGGCTTGGTATCAAGAGATCCACGAACGTTCTACTTCTTAATAGGTGATTTAACAGTACTGATTGGCATATTCAAGGCTTTGGACATCTTTATATGTCCTTTTCCATCTTTATAAAGTTCCATTACCTTGTTACGCAGGACTTTTGACAGTCCTTTTCTGATCCCCATGGCTCAGTATCTAGCCTAGTCAGTGCTTCCAGGTAAGAGCTAACAAACTCATTGACTATTTATACACTGACACAATTTAAAAAGCCACAGATGTGGGACATTAACCTCTAATTGCCATTTTAACCCATGTGTGTCACCTTGTGTGTCTGTACAAAGGCCAAACATTCCAGGGTATGTAGACTTTTGATCATGGCCATTTTGGGTGATTTCTGTTATCATTATGATTAAAAAGGAGCCAAACAACTCTTTGATAATAAATGGATTCATATGATCATCATCCTTCAATAAAAGAGAGTATTTTTTGGCATGATCAGTCATATTTTCAATATCAATGCCAAAATTTCACAATTTCTGCCAGGGTATGTAAACTTTTGAGCACAACTGTATGTGTCTGTTTACACCCGCCTGCATCTGATTCGATCCTCTAAAACAAATGGATGGGGATCATTCCCCATCCGTCTAGCGGTCAGATTGGATGACAACAGGCGGTCTGTTTACATCCAATCCCCCACAGAGAACAGTGGGCTGTGTCCTTGTCCACTCTGCACAACCAGAGCGGACACAGACCTGTCATTTGCCTGCTCAGCAGAGATCGGCAAACAGTTCTCCCACTGAACAGGCAGATCCACTTGGAGGAGTCCGCCTGTGTGAAAGGACCCTTACTGTGTGGAAGTTAGTTACTGCTGTTTTAAAGGCTGAGAATGAACACAACAAATATTGCTTTGATTTGGAGATTGTTAATTAAATATATCAATTACATTATTCTTTTGAAGCATTCTCACTTTATAGCATTTTTACAAGTGCCTACAAATATTTTTAGAGTACTATACCACCTTAATATCCACCATTAGTGTATGCTGTTATAGGACTCTCATCGTACAAATAACTGATGATGTGGCAAGCAATGAGAAAAGATGTGTTTTTTCACTAAATGTACTTGATTTCCTTCCCCTATCCATAGTGAAAAGAGGAATAAGTTACAAGTTGTACAAGTAGCATCATGAATTTGTGATTCTGCTCAACAGGCCTCTGTAAAATTGCACTTCTCGAGTCCCAAAGAAATGATAAAGACATACATATTCATTTTTCTACTACTTTAAAAAGTATTTTTCAACTTTCTTGCACTCATGAGAGATATACAGTATACTGTATATACATCTAGCCTTAATATTTACCTATAAGACATCCAGAAACATTTAACAATGATTTTAGCTATTTAGTACAATTTAACAACCTATATTGGCTTGTATATTAGGGATTGCTATCTTACCTGTGTGGATGAAAATCCACCTAGGGCATTGCGCTGCTGGGAAAGCCATTTTACTACTGGAAGTGCAGAGGCCACATCTCCAAGAAGGGTATACGTTAGCAAAGCATATGCTGTCATTTCAACTTCAGCTGAGATCACTATTTAAAAACAATGAAAATTACTTTTTTTTCAAGGATCACATTAATATCATTTCCACTGCAGTGTCATGAACTAAACATAATAATTTGTACTGATTTAACATCAACTGATTTTAGTCAACGAGTACAGAAAAATCAGTTTATATGGGTGACATTTTTATTACCATGAACACATTTTAATTTTAAGCAAATACAACTTTATACTGTAGATTGTGGTCTTATGTTTCTAAATAATCGCAAACAATAGATTCAGCACTGGTTGCCCTGTTGTCTGAGGCTCCAGTGCACCATAATTATTGTGGTTATGTCATACACTGACACCTACTAGTAAAGTATTGGCTTGAGAAACAGAAATCAACTACATAGCAATCCATAATGACAGGTCATGGGCTGGATTTATGTATGTGGTTTAAGATATATATAAACTAAAACTCAATGTGGTTCAGCATAATACCACTCATGAGCCACCAGGGAAGGAGAAACTCAAACTAAGGGGAATTTTTCAAGCTAGTCCACTGCTATCAAACAGAAGGGTAGACAAGATATGGACAGGGCATTTTTGGTATATCAAACAGTAGTGTTTATTAAAGATTGGTTAGGAACGTGTGCTAGGAAATATGTATAAACTTCTTGGCAACAGTAATTTAGTGTGTTTTTTAAAACCAAGTGTTATGTATTTTTACAGTGATGGCATTGGGTATTCTGATGAATATGGCAACTTGCGTTTTTAGCGTGCAATGGGGTTGATTTACTAAAACTGGAGAGTGCAAAATCTGGTGCAGCTCTGCATAGAAACCCATCTGCTTCCAGGTTTTATTGTCAAAGCTTAACTGAACGAGCTGATGTTAGAAGCTACCATGCACAGTTGCACCAGATTTTTCACTCTCCAGTTTTAGTAAATCAACCCCATTGTCTTCATAACAATCCAATGGTATCTTTAGTTAAATCTGTTTTGTATTCAAATAAGAGGATATCATTGTCATTTTGAAATTAGCCTGAAATTGTTAATATTTTAAAAGGTTACGTTTTATATATTTACAAAACACTTTTTAAAATTGGCCTTTGTATGGCTACTTCTCCTGTTTAACATGTCATGTAACTTGGCAGGGTCACAAAATGCTGTGCAAAAGTGCAGTTTGTCTCAACTGTAGTCACTGTCACTTTTGCTTTCTAGCTTGATCTGCATGTAATTGTGGTGACAAATATTAATTCAGGCACTTTAAACAAAAACAAATTAATATAATGAATACTATACACATATCAACCACATCCATTTATCAGAATATCATATTTTTCACAATAGTCCTTTTTCTTAGCGCAAAAATAAATTTCATCAAGCAAATCAAGACCATGAAGTGGATGTATATTTTCCTACCAGACTGAGAGAGGCCATCACTGAAACTCATGAAAGTGTCCTCCTCTTTTGCCATTGAGCCAATTAAACTCCAGTGAGTAAACCCATCTATGGTAAAAAAAAATATATACATTCTTATTTTTGTTTTTAATTGTTGTGATATTTGTTAAAAAATATGGTCCAGTTACCTTGTGTTATAGCCATGCTGTTCAGCCTCCTAAGAGCTGCAGAAGCATAGGTGCTACGCAGCAGAGTCAGAGCATATGTTGTGAGAGCTGTGGTATATGGGTCATCTGCTGAGTACAAATTTGACTCCAAGTATTCTTTGGCTTTGGATACAGCAACTCTTTCTTCCTAAGAAAAAACAGCAGTAAGACAACCAGAACAATAAAAAATAAATTTTTGATAGTGATTCTCTCCAGTCAGTGGATAGCCAGCCACATGTGGTTCTCAGTTACCTTTGATGTGACTGCTTCAAAAGTCATGAAAAGATTTTTCAGTTCAACTAGCAAAAATCAGCTTTGTGCAGTTAAAATGACCTTGATGCTTGCTGAAATTTAGGAGAGGTCTTTAAAATAGTAATGTTGTCAATATAAGACTGGGGCAGTAAAGAGCTGAGATGCCGTCAGTCAGTCAATCAGTCAACATGTATGTATACTATAACACATGTTTAAAGTCTGAAATACTTCTTAATAACTGAATATTAATGTACAAGAAAAAAATAGCATCACTCACACTTCTGTATTATAATCACTTTTTAACATTTTCTATAGTAAAGCTGTAATGTTTGGTATGTTGTGAAATGGTGATCATTGAGCATAATTAGTGTATACACTAACTGTGTACTAATCAGTATACCACATTCAAGACATTTTTAGAACATATGTAAATGAAAAACATATGCCTTGATGGAAATCATTTCAGTATCCTGAGCTAATCTCAATTTTGTTATGCACAAATAACTATTGCTATATTACAAATCAGATTTCTGTATTTACTGTAAAATCCTTTTCTTGGGAGTTCTTTAAATCACTCTCTGTTCATAAACCACAAAATATGAAAGATAAAAATCTGTGTTGTGACAAGATTAATTTGAAATACGGAAAAGATTTTTTAATTTCAATATCAATGAATGGAGGATTCAAAATTGGGGAGCCAATCATTAGAATGGACTTCAAAGGCTCATCAAATAAATTTGCTGAATATTTGAACTTGACATTTGGGTCCCCATCAGAATCCCCCTTACATCAGAGCCCTTGTTTAAATTAGGGTCCCAATCAGAGTCTGCCCATACATCAAAGTCCCCATCAGAGTTGCCCTCACATCAATTAGTCTCATCAGAGATAGACTGCAGGTTCTCTAAATGTGAGTCAAAGATGGTGACAGGGTCTAAAGACCCAGCTTGATGTAGGGGTACAGGAGGGTTAGAGAGATAGGCTCTGCCAGTGCTGGAGAGTGATTAAAGTCTCTGCAGGCAGAGCATGAAGTCTCAAAGTCTTGTGTGGACATGGAGGTCCCTGTGGACATATGAGAGGACTGGGCCTCACTAACTAAGGAAGACTCTGATAATGACAACCATATAACATTAGGGGACAGAGGTTCAAGATAATAGGTGTCTTATGTTTCTGAGGATACTGATTGCTCCCAGAACCACTGAGGGAGTATTTATTTCAGGTACTTATATAGCGCCGTCAATTTACGCAGCGCTTTACACATATATATTGTACATTCACATCAGTCCCTAACCCTCAAGGGGTGTACAATGGATTACAGCCACCCAGGGCAGCTGGACTGTCCCAGCTGCATAATAGCAAGGAGATGTTGTGTGCATATCAGCTGGAATGCAACAAGGCCCAAATGTGAGGCGAAACATCAGATACTCACAATCCTGGGCAGCTGAAGGTGATGAGGGTTTTAGGCAGCCAGTGACCAGTGGAAACAGAGCATAGATCCATGTGGTGCTTAAGGAGCACAAGCAGCAGCAACTGCAGGTTGGTGCTTTATCTAGGCTGAATGGTGGGAAAAAGAGCACAGAGCGCATACATGCATTGCACCACTCAGTGGAAAAAATCAGCACTTGGCCCCTTAGCCCTAAAATGTTTGTAAACCTAACAAAAAAATGATACTCCTGTCTCTTTAAGGGACACTAAGGTGCATAGTAATATTGTATTGTTATTTAGTCCATGCAGTATTTTACAATATCTGGTTGATCCTGCCTGTCCCTGTGTTCCTCTCTGTAAACTGACCATGCTAATCATGGCTGCTGATCCATGATATCATGGTCAGTTTTCTTTCCATCATCGGGCTCTCTCCTCAGTGTGACTGTATCTGTATCCCTCTCCTCCTCCCTCCCTGACATTTCTGAGGTCTGTGTCTGTGTGAAGTTGATCAACTCCCCTCCACTCCAGCCTTAAATAACTTATCATTCCACAGCAGCTGCTCCACCCCTCCTCTGTTTTCTTTTTGCATGTGACTTGCACAGCACCAATCAGCGCTGTGCTGACACTAGGTCAGAAGGCACAGATTCCTCTTCTTTCTGGTACTGGACTTGAAGGACAAGTACAGCCAAAGCTCTTTTGGTTGTACTTCTCCTGTGGATCACATGAGTGCAGTTTGTTCTGTACTTCTGTGACCTGTTTTCAGCTGATTGACAGTCACAGCTCTCTGCTCACAGCGGCTGTTAGAACTCAGCGATCAGTAGTCATGTGATCGCTGAGTTCTCACACTTAGGGCCAGCAGGGAACAGATGCAGCATTGGACCAATGTTGCATCCACCTGGCAAGTATAATGGGGGGAAAAAAAAGCCCATACTTCTCTTAATAAAAGATCGGGAATAAGAGAAGGAAAACAGTGCAGAAGTGCTGCTTAGAAAAAGGTATTTAGCAAATTAATTTTTAAAAAACACACACGCACACTGCAGTTTATACTGACCTACAAGAGAAAGTTTATGATGTTTTTTGTGCAGAGACTTTACATCTACTTAACCCATTACGGCTGTAGACAGTGGTAAGCAATGGTGAGAATTTTGAAAGGCATACACCAGTTTAAACAGTGATGTATCTCCCAGTGCTTTAGCCTAAACAGCCTTATTCTCAAAGCAAGTGTTCATAGACTCATGTCACATCTAGGTGTGCGCCATGCTCTAGACCCGGAAAGGGCTTTGTATCTAAAACAGCGCACTCAGGTCTGGAAAGTGTCACAATACAGTCAAGTGCCTGAAGGTCACATTCCAGTCTGACCACACACATCCAGTCCAGCATGATCCGGGTACAGGCTCAAAAGTGAGGCAGAGGAAATGCTAATTTGACAAGCTGTTATGCAGAGACCAGCTCAAGCAGCTGTACAGTAAGAACATTTTGTTAATAGAAAAAAATTAATAAAAGATAAAGAAAGACTAGCAAAATATATTTAGACTTTTTTTCAGAAAAGGTGTCCGACCTCCTTCTAGGATATTCCGTGTCCAAATAACCAAGTTGCTGTATTTGAATTTATGTGCCCCTCATCGGACAAGAAAGGTATAAGTTTCATTAAAAAATTCTAATACAGAAAAAACATTATATGGTAAAAGCAAAACTCTATAAGATTAAAGTTCTCTACATCTATTCGACACTTACAAAAATTGACAGTATTGAAATATATTGCTTTAGGTAGCAACTGCAGACAAGCAAAATATGTCATGGTAGTCATATACTGCGAGAATACTCAGCTCCTCTCTTAAACTCCATGACTTGCACAACTATAATTTGGAGCTAGATATGAGTATATTTGCCAGAATTTTTTTCTGTGCGTGCCCTATGCCACTTATTTTAAGGTGACGAATGTAGGACCACAAATTTATGGGACCAATATATCCTGTATATATTTTATAACAGAGCTGTTCACCCGGCAGCCTATAGGCAACTTGCAGGAATCCCAAATGTGGAGGCTCGCCACCATCCCTGCTACCCACATCTCTGCAATTGCAAGACACATACAAATATCGCAAAAACGGCAACCAGAAAAATGGCATCAATCCCTTTTTCTGACCCAAAACCAAGTTTTTCCCTTAAACATATTACTATTTGTATGTCTGCACAGTGTGTGTTACCTCAGAAGCGATTCCCGTCTCCAAGAGAGCGGCTGCGACATAAGCAGTTAGAGCTATTTTTCCATGATTTCCACCCTGTAACAACAGCAATACTCTTTATATATACATTATATATATTTATTTTTATCTACAGCTCATGGTACATTAGCATGAACAGTAAGCTGAGATATAAGAATAATTAAAAGTATAAGGAATGGAGTGTACTTAGTGTATTTGACACCCAGGGTTGCTCCAAACACATTTATTTTCAGTAAAAGGCTGGAAACGAAATAAAGAGAATGAAGATTGTATTCATAACTCATATTGGTGGTTAGTAGAGTCCTGGTTCACACGGATGTGACTTGTGCGATTTGACAGTATCAAATCGCACCCTATGATCGACAATGGAACCTTTCTAATCAGCGTGACTCTGACTTTGTCAGAGTTGCATCGATTTGAAAAGTAGTTTCTGCACTACGGGCAATTTCTTGTGCGACTTGCATTGACATCTGTGCATGACGTTGCACAGATGTCTGCTAAGTCACACCTGAAGTTACACTGACATGAGACTTTGAAATTGTGCGACTTCAAGTGAAGTCGCATGATTTCAAAATCAGATCCAGTGTGAACCAGGGCAAAATCAGCCTTACACTGCTAGTCATGGGAAAAGAGCCCATTTACACTTGTGATCAGTGAAATGCCCCCTTACACTAGTAGTCAGTGAAATGTACCCTTACATCAATGGTTAGTGTAGTATCTTATTTCCATTGGTGGTCTGTGGAAAAGGACCCCCTTACACTGGTTGTCAGTGGAAAGAATGTTCTTTACACTGGTGATCAATAGCAAGAATGCAGGTACAGATAGATAAAAAAAGATCATTTTTGTCAGTGGCTATTTATCAAAAAGTCAGAAATTGCTCTTTTTTTCAAGGAACCGGCAACATTCTCTGGAGGGACCATAGGGCTCCATTGATCCCTGGTTATGAAAGGCTGGTCTAAATATGTGTAATAGATACACATACATTTCCTTTCTAGCCTCATTTTTACTCACATCCTTTGCTGTCTAGCTTAGTACTAATAGTGATCTATTCAAAGTATTAAATATGTTAGCCATACTTTATGTGGTCATATACATTTCAGTTCAGTCACAGCATGGTATACCAATGGCTAGTCTAGATAACCTCAAGAAAGATCCATATGTAGAACGTTGCTGCAAACTGTATATGTACAGGTTAATGTTGGGGGGTTGTGTAAAGGTCAGATTGTTAAGATCTGGGTCTAAAACTGCAACCTCTGCTCTGTCTGGTGATGTCTCTTCTTCCTCTGCCAGCTGAGATGCTGTAAAACTTCCTGGACTATTCCTTGAACAATCTTGCCTTAAACCTTGTTTCTTTTGAAACGTGAACCCTTTGCTCCTTGCATAAAATTCCTATTATAGCCTTGCACTTCCCCGTTTGCCAGATTATTGTGCTCTCTCCAGCCAATATCTCGCTCTTGTCACTCCTGATACCATCCATATCTCCACTACCACTCATTACCAACATTTTGCTTGTTCCTTGACTACACTTCTACTTGACCCCAACCTGCGACCATTTGTTACTGACCTTTGGCTTGTTTGCTGACTACAGCTTCTGCTTGATCCCTACCTGCTATATCTGCTACTGGACCTCATCTTGCTCACCTCCTAGTGCGGCAATCCTGAGGACTGTGACCTGGTGCTGAGGGTGACCAGCTGATGTACTTTTCCAGCTGGTCAGTGGGAGCTACTCTACTGCTATAGCTACTGCTCTCCGAGCCTGACCCCTGACCGTGACATAGATTTTTATTTAAAGATTATTCATAATCTAATGTCGATGGATAGATTTAAATTTGAAATTAGTATAGGCTATATTATAATAATTACAAAATTAATCTTACTGATTGGAACAGTCATTCGTTCTTTAGTTATAACTCTAGAGTAGCCCTTAGGTAGTCATTCCATAGATCATTTGATTCATACTGCAAGTTTTGAATGATCACATTCTTATAGATTCCCCCCCCCCCCCATGCTTCCATTGACTGCCCACTTTTGCATCTTTTCTCCTGTTCACGTTTGAATCTGGGATACCCTACCATCATGTCCAGTTCCTTTTCAGCTAACTGCTGGCTGTCTTCTAGGATGTGAGCAGGACAATTCTTTCAGGACAGATAATTCTACAACTGTAGCAAGTTGCTACCCAGAGGACTTAATGCCCATATAGATCTATCCTCAGATCAGGCATTTTCTAGATCAACCTTCAGTCAAATTCCTGTACACCAGAAACCAACCCCTTGTTCCTGGCAGACTCTCCTCAGAAGCATCTAATTTCAGTTATCTACCTGAACACATTTACTAACCACTCACCCAAGGATCACTTAAGGTTTCAAATCAGGAAAATGGGTACAAACTGAGATCATGCTGTTATTGAATCCTTTTCATACTCCAGAAGATATTTGCAGTTGGAGAATGTGCACTGAGAATCCATTATTACACATATGGCAGGAATATATGACCTTGCAAGGGTTTCGATGAGACATACAAAGAATTAGTTAAGTGGTGTTTGGTTCAAGAGTTCTGTTTCTTGGGAACAATAATTAGGCATCTGTCATGGCCAGGGAATATATTCCAACTGGTGAGCAAGGCTCATCAGGGATTGTACTGCTTGAGGAAGCTATGGAAGGCAGGATTTTCCAAGCAAGGCTTACTCAGCTTCTATAATGCTGCCATCTAGAATGTTCTGACTTATCATATCTCTCTGTGACAAGGGATGTGCATGGTTCATAACAGAAATGCCTTACAGAGGTTGATAACAACAGTGCAGAAGATTATTAAAGGGGCATATTTACAGAGTATTGAAGAACTGAGGGAGGGGAGGTGTCTTCGTTATTAAGTAAGAGTTATTAATATCCTATAAATATTAATATCCTATAGGATAGCTCCCTTCCTGACAATGCCTTGTTTACAGTGTAGCCTTCTGGAGGAGGTTTAGGAGTATTTATTTCCATACCACCAGGCAGTAAAACAGCTTCCTTCCATGGTCCATACGATTTTTTAATGCTAAAGGCTTTTTAGGGTTATATTAAATGTGCAGTATGTATTTATTATGCGATATACCTGTATGTGTTGTTTTTATGAAGATAGTGTTTTCGGTGAGGTATGTGATTTTTTTTTATTGTGAGGGGTTGCATCTGCATTTAATTTTAAGATTTTTATTTTAAATTGACAATACACTTTTCTGATTCTGTCCAGCTATGCTTATGACTTCATGTTTACACATTATCTAATGCACCATACTACCAGCCCCCAGAAACATTATTTTGAATCTTTAGTCATGCACATGATTAATGCTGCCAGAATGTACCTCCTGATGCACTTGCATTCTAAACAGACCCCTACATTATAATTTGTTCACATGAAACAATAAGGTTGCGTGTATAGAGGAGATGATACATATAACACAGGATAGACTGTCAAAGTACTCTGTGACATGGGCTTGCTGGATACAATTTAAAACCACTGTTGAATAAAAGAGCATAATACATTGTTTCCACTGTGTTATTTACTGGAGTTTCCTGACAAGATTGTTGTTGCATGAGGAGCCCTAAAAAACTAACATTTTGTTTTGGCTTAAAATTCCCCATTGGGGAAATCCCCATCTTGCCATTACTTGTGTCTCTTTGACCCCCATTCTCAGGTGTTCCTCCACCTTCATTTTCTCATAGATATGGTTGCAATGATTTTTCCATGTGTGCTGCTTACCTGGATATCCTTGTTTAAGATTCTACCCATGGCTGGAAAAGAGCCATCTTTCTTCTGGTGCAGAATAATCCAGTCTTTTGCTGCAGAAAGTTCTAATGGATCAAAATATAGATAAAGCCCCGGGACTGTGCAAAAGATTTCAGCACAAAAGCTGTAAGCCTAATTAATGGATCAAAGAGTGGTATAAAAATATGCAAATCATTATCAACAGGATAGTTCATGTTGGGTGAGTCTGACTTTTTTCTTACCACATACTTCCAGAAGAATCTCTCTCTCCAAAAGCACTATAGGACCCATCTTGTCTCTTGTACGTTAACTGACGTTGGTAGCCTGTTTAACAGGGAGATGACCACAATAAGCCTTGTACTAGTTCTGCATATTGTTATCCCATTGTTTTGCCTGGAAATCTGGTCTGCAGGCAAAACAATTACTTGTTGCATGCATACAATGTCTATAGGGATTTTGCCAGCAACTGGCACCTGCAAAGTTAAGCACTGGCAATGGAAGCTAGCCAATGCATACATTTTATGCATGAAAGTTTTTGGATTGGAGGAACAGAGGTAAGCATAATGTACACCCACCTAACCCCAAGTAAGTACCGTTTACGACCCATAGATTACAATATACAATGTATTGTGCACATTTTTGCAGATAAAAGGGCAAAAATGACATAGAACAGCAAACATGGTAAGATTTTTTTTTTTTTTGGTAAATTGAAACAGAAAAACATATTATCGCAATATGCATCTTCAATCCAGAGACTGTACAGTTTTTGGGGTACATTATGACTTCTTTGGTCCAGGAAAGATTAATCAGAGGTTTGTTTTTCTTATGTTTATAAATTCATGTCTTAATTCATAATAAACCCCAATTTCCAATATTATTAGGTTTATAGAAGCATGGAATTGTTGTACTGACAGATTAAAAATAACTTTGTCAAATGAAAGTGAAAAATATGAAGGGGCAAAGGTCTTCCGCATCCAAAAATAAGAGATGAAGTCTTATATACAAATGCCATACACTGCTCATCTGTTGTGCACATGTATGATATGTTTATCAGGCACTATTAGGAAGAAGGTCAAAAGCAATGATGCAGAGACTAAGGCTAAGTAAGGATAGCGATACACAGATAGAATTTTCATTTGAATGTTCATATGGAAATTCTGAAAAATCATTCATCATGCCATGCAACGGTACCATCAATGACAACAATTTTGTTAGAAAGAGTCTTAAAAATCCCATTTGTTTGCCATGCCAATGGTTTGAATTTTAAAGTCCAATTTCAGAATGCTTGGACATTATGAAATGTTTGTTTGTGACCCTACAACATACCATGTAGAAAATGAATGAAGGGTTTTCAACAGTCAAACTTTACTTAGCACATGTGCACTACAATAAGCATGATTTTTCCCTAACAGAAATCACATCCACAGTTAGATTATTGTTTGTTCAGATAAGAAACGAGAACAAATTTCCATCTTTCACTTTTTTTTCACACGGCGGTCAAAAACAATCGTCGAATTGTTCCCATGAACAAATGGAAAAGACATTTAAAAAACATCCGTTTTCAAGATAAATTTTTCTCATGTATGGCATGCTGTCACCCATTCTGATTACATGAGGGGCAAAGGTACAATAAATAACAGTTAAACACACATTATGTGATAAAACAACACAGCAATGTTGAGCCTAACCCACCTTGAAGAAGGTAGTCGACTGCCTCACTTTCCACTTCTGGACACAATTGCTTTGTTTTCTGGAGATACTTGAGCACAAATACATTAGGGGCAAAGTGGATCATATTCTGCTCTCCACATCCGAATGGCAGACGGAGGAGGTTATCTAAATTACTCACAGTCGGACCCATCACATCTCCTACAGAATAATAATAATAATAATGCAATTACTAACAAATATTGTATTTTGCATTCTTCAGGATCTTTAGGAGTGCCAGATTATTCAAAATTATTATTTAGTAAAGGAATTACATCTTTACTGTATTAGACAGAAACCAGCCACCACATAATAAATTAATCTGACTATAGCCTCTGAAATCTAATTTTAGAGTTTACAACTAGTATAAGAACATAACGTATTGGTGGTTAGCATGTCAAAATAACAGGTAATTATAGGACTTATAAGCTAAGAATAAATAAATAAACCACACACAATACGAGCACTACTCAACAAATTAACACAAAACTATTACTTTATATTTTCAATAGAACATCCTTTACCTGCATTGCCTTCCTAATATATTACTCCAATACTATCAGTATTGTACATTTGCTCCTTGCTGAAGACTCTGATATGTTAGTCCTGTTAAGCATTAAAACTAGCCTTCTATCCTTAAAAAAAAGCTGTTTGATCAAGAATATTAACCTATAATAGAAGCTGTAGCTCTTTCAGACCCAGGGATGACATTGTGTGGGACCCCCAGTGTGAAAGCCTCATTGTGGTTCTCATCTGTCTCTTCCTTCCTCCAGATTTTAAATTCCCCCATGGAACCCCAGCCAGTCGAAAAGCCGATGAACTTCACGTCCGGCTGCTTGGCCGCTGCCCATTCCACGATAATAGAGTCATTGGAGCCTTTGGTGCCGTGTCCTACCTGGGGAAGGTGGAGACAGAGAAGAAAGGGAGGTAGGTGGTCTGCACCCATAAAACTTTTACCATTAAATTATTAGTAAATAAATAGGAAACACCCTTTGAAATTAAAGTCTAACTCCAGACAAACAATGCATATTAAAAAAATGGGCAGACTCAATGGACCACTTGTTCTTTTTCTGCCGTCACTTTTCTGTATATGGGAGCTATTTTGCCTGCCAAAAGAGTTTGACCCAGTCCTGCCATGCTACAGAGACAGGTTGGTAACCTGACTTTGTTCTACTACAGTTAAGCAATACAGCTTGATCACCTTCCTGACACAGTCTGTGATTGGGCAGTGAAGAAACAGCAGAATACTGATCTCTCTCCTGTCCAGAACACTGGATTTTCTCATAGTAATACCTCTTCCTCTCTCTAAAGAGTCTAAAAGCTGCTTTATAAGAGATTGCAGGTGGCTGCTATCAAGTCAAATTCAGGTAGCTGCACTAGCTGCATCAAAAATACATTTCATGATATTTTGACAAATACATAATTGCATTAGTTTTTGTACTTTTAAAATTGGCTGGAGTTTAGTGTAAAAACATGAACATACTGATACACACAGATATATAAAACAGAAATACGTTGCTTAGTAACATGGCCTGTTATTATAATATATTAAAATCATGACTGTAACTGAAATTTCTGTTCTGAATTCAACAATTCAAGGTATTTTATTTACGCTTACCTGGATGAGTCCATTTTTCCAGCTAATCCAAAAAGCACGGAACTCATCCCAGGACAAGATAGCAGCAGTATTTGCACTGGTGATGGGTTCTCCCATCTTGCTGGTTGTTATCCATGTTTTAGAGTTCTGCTGTCCACCAAACACAATCTCAATCATTTCAGCCATGTCATGAGGTCCAGAAGACAGTGCCACATGGGCATCATTATGGGCTTTCACCGTCAAATCAAAGTGCGTCATTCGTTGAGGTTTTTGAACGTACTGATATTCAAATTTGTTGGGAGTAGAAATCTGAATTTTCTCTAGGCCAAAAAAGATACTGCATAAATTTACACAGACTTTACATTTTTACAGAATGAAGAAAAAGAGAAAATAGCAAGTAGTATACGAGAGAAAGAAGAGTGGTGTAATACACTGTTTTCAAAGTCTGCATGATAATGAGATGATGGGCATAAGAGAACTCAGATTAGTTGTTAAAGATCGCTGCACATTACCCTTCAGCCTTGTTCTTTTTGCCATAATGAATAAGCCCATGTGAGTAAACAAAAGAAATTAAAGCATGCGTAGTGTAATGTGTATATCCACACAACTTGGAGCACACAAATGTATCAGTAACCGATACCAGTTTCAACTAAACTAGAACTATAGACAGTCTCTATAGGCTCACCTATGAAGAAAGAGGCACCTTGACTAAGTTTTACATTTGGGACAAGTGGATTTCTTGTTTTGACACCAGGCTCCTTCTAAACCCTCTTAATTGCAGATGACTCAAACACATAGGCCCCAATATTCCCTTAATCAGCCTATTTAGACCAAACCTACAAATGGCACTTAAAACGCAATGGGTGGAAAGATTTTCTTTCATAAATCAACTTTAGTTGCATGTACAAATTACACAACAGCACAAAGTTCCCATTCATTGTTATTTATGGATATTTACATTTAAAACTTTAAATCCTGCTCAGTTGTTATTGGTACATGTTCTCTTTTCTTCACTTCATTTTTTGTACAATGTGATTTTGAACTATATGTACCAGTGTTTACACTTGTTCAATGAACCTCAATATAAAAACAACTAGAACTACAGCGTAAAACAGACACAAAGAGAGATGTCTCTGCACCAGGGGTAGTCAACCTTTTGATCATTGTGTGGCAAAAAATGTTTTCAAAGAAATTGAGAGGGCCGGTAGTATAAAAAAAAAAGTCAACTTCACACTCTCAATCATGAAAAGAAAATGTTATTGAGGAAATGCTGTAAACGACTTGAATACTAGCAAGAAATTAATATTGAAATTAATATTGAACTTTGCACTTTCACCCCTCAGATCACCCGAATTCTTGCATCTTTTCCCCTCATATCACCCAAATTCCTGCACCCTTACCCCTCAGATCAACCCCAATTCCTGCACCTTCACCCCTCAGATCAACCCCAATTCCTGCACCTTCACCCCTCAGGTCACCCCAATTCCTGCACCTTCACCCCTCAGATCAACCCCAATTCCTGTACCTTCACCCCTCAGATCAGCCCAATTCCTACACCTCTAAGCATCAGATCAGACCCAATTCCTGCATCTTCACCCCTCAGATCACTCCAATTCCTGCACCATCACCCCTCACATCAGCCCCAATTCCTGTACCTTCACACCTCAGATCACCCCAATTCCTGCACCTTCACATCATATATCACCTCAATTCCTGCACCATCAGACCTCAGATCACCCCAATTCCTGCACCTTCACACCTCAGATCAGCCCCAATTCCTGCAGCTTCACACCTCAGATCATCCTATTTCCTGCACCATCAAATCTCATATCAGCCCCAATTCCTGCACCTTCACACCTCAGATCAGCCCCAATTCCTACACCTTATATCAGCCCCAATACTTGCACCTTCACATCTCAGATCATTCCAAATCCTGCACCTTCAAACCTCAGATCACCCAAATTCCTGCACCTTCACCCCTCAGATTACCCCAATTCCTACACCTTCACCCCTTCACCCTCTGACCTGCACACCTCAACCCAAAATCCTGCACCTTCACACCTCAGATCACTCCAATCCCTGCACATTCACCCCTCAAATTACACCAATTCCTACACCTTCACACCTCAATCACCCCAATTCCTGCACCTTCACACCTCGGACCTTCTCAATTCCTGTACCACCACACCTCAAATCACCCCAATTCCTGCATTGTCCCACCCTATTTCCTGCACCAGCTCACCTCATATCAGCCCTAATTCCTGCACCTTCACACCTCAGTTCAGTCCCAATTCTTGCACCTTCACACCTCAGATCACCCCAAATCCTGCACCTTCACACCTCAGATTACCCCAATTACTACACCTTCACACCTCGATCACCCCAATTCCTGCACCTTCACCGCTCAGATTACCCTAATTCCTACACCTTCACACCTCGATCACTCCAATTCCTGCACCTTCACACCTCAGACCTTCTCAATTCCTGCACCACCAGACCTCAAAACACCCCAATTTCTGCATTGTCACACCTTAGATCAAACCCAATTTATGCACCATTACACCTCAGACCATACCCAATATATGCACCCTCAGATCTCAAATAAGCACAATTCCTGCACCTTCACACCTCAGATCACCCTATTTCCTGGACCATCACACCTAATATCGGCCCCAATTCCTGCACCTTCACACCTCAGACCTTCGCAGTTCCTGCACCACCAGACCTCAAATCACCCCAATTTCTGCACCTTCACACCTTAGATCAAACCCAATTTCTGCACCATTACATCTCAGATCAGACCCAATTTCTTAACCCTCAGATCTCAAATAAGCACAATTCCTGCATCTTTGCACCTCAAATCACCCCATTTCCTGCATCATCACATCTCATATCAGCCCCAGTTCCTGCACCTTCACCCCTCAGATCAGCCCCAATTCCTGCACCTTCACACCTTAGATCAGCCCCAATTCTTGAACCTTTACACATCAGATCACCCCAAATCCTGCACCTTCACACCTCATATCACCCTAATTCCTGCACCTTCACCCGTCAAATTACACCAATTCCTAGACCTTCAGACCTCGATCACCCCAATTCCTGCACCTGCACACCTCAGATCACCCTAATTCCTGCACCGTCACACCTCAGATCACTCGAATTCATGCACCGCCACACCTCAGATCACCCCAATTCTTACATCTTCACACCTCAGATCATCAGCAATTTCTGAACCTTCACACCTCAGATCAGTCCCAATTCCTGCACCTCTAAATTAGTGGTTCCCAATAGCTAGTTAATTACGTGTCCAAAATGCGAGCAGGCTGCTTAGGGCATCTGACTCCAGGATTGTACCTAGCCTGTCTGATGAGGGGGTGCAGTATAAAATGTCAGGGGGCAAAGGATTGGTTGGTCAGCAGGGCAAAAGATAGTGTCAGCAGTTTCTAGGGCAGTGTACAGAGGGCAGCAGGGTAGAGGATGGGAAGTCAGAAGGGGAACGTACAGGGGGTCAGCAAAACAGAGGACAGGGTCCAGCAGGGTGGGCAACAGGGGTTAGCAGGGCACAGGACAGGGGTTAGTAGGGTAAAGCAGCCTTTATCAACCTGGGTGTCCAGGCACCCTGGGGTGTCTTGAGGTTTCTTCAGGGGTGCATTGCAAAGTGTCTAAAAGTTGCACAAAACTAGTATACAAGCCAGCAGGTGAAACAAGCCTGCCTTTTAGTTACACAAAGCCACAGGTTTTCATTGTGCACCATTACGACCTTCTAGCTGCCAGTGTCCTGACAACCAATGACATCATCAGCTGCTAAGGAGGATGTCAGCTGCCAGCCCAGCATCCTAGTTTGACCCTCCCCTGCCCCTCTCCATCAGTGCTGGGGTCGCATTAGCTCAGTGATGGATTACAACTGAGGAAGAAGAGAAACCCTGGAATACTAGTCAGTACCAGTGTGCAAAAGTGTATTTGCTTTGGAAGAATAAATCACCTCTAGTGTTGGGTGTCCTATGTGTGTGGATGTTGTTGCATTATATAAAACTATTAAAATAGTTTTTCACAGTTTAGATGTGGGTGCCTCAAGACTGTCCATAATTTAAAAGGGTGCCTTGACTGAAAAAAGGTTGAAAAACACTGGGGTAGAGGACAAGGGGTCAGCAGGATAGTAGACAGCGGTTAGAGGTGCAGGAGACAAGGGTTAGCAGGACAGAGGATGGGTTCACCAAGGCATAAGATAGGGGTCAGCAGGGCAAAAAACAATGGTCAGCAGGGCAGAGGATGAAATCAATAGGGCATAGAACAGGGGTAAGCAGGGCAGAGGATGGGGTCCACAGGACAGGGTAGAGGGGTCAACAGGGCATAGGACAGGGGGTCACCAGTGCAGAGGATGGGGTCAGCACAGTGGAGGAAGGGGTAAGCAGGAAAAAGCATGAGTCCAGCACTGGAGATGATCAGCGGAGCATAGGACAGGGTAAGCAGGGCATAGGATGAGGTCAACAAGGCATAGGATGGGGTCCGCAGCGCAGAGGACAGGGGTCAGTAGGGCATAAGACGGGGCCAGCAGGACGCAGGATGGAGTCAGCAGGACATAGGTTGGGGTCCGCAGGGCATTGGGTGGGGTCAGCAGGGCATAGGACGAGGTCAGCAGGGTAGATGACAAGGGTCAGCAGGGCATAGGATGGGGTGTACAGTGCACAGGACAGGGTCCGCAGGGTAGAGGAGAGGGGTTGGTAGGACATAGAGTGTGGTCCGTAGGGCATAAAACGGGGTCCACAGGGCACAGGACAGGGTCCACAAAGTAGAGGACAGGGGTCAGTATGACATAAGATGAGGTCAGCAGGGCATAGGATGGGGTCTGCAGGGCAGAGGATAGGTGTTAGCAAGGCATAGGATGGGAACAGCAGGGTACAGGATGTGGACTACAGTGCACAGGATGGGGTCCACAGGGTAGAGGACAGGGGTCTCTAGGACATAGGATGGGGTTCACAGGGCACAGGACAGGGTTTGCAGGGTAGAAGAAAGGGGTCAATATGACATAGGATGAGGTCAGCAGGGCATGGGATGGGGTCCACAGGGCAGAGGACAGGGGTTAGCAAGGCATAGGATGGGTCAGCAGGGCAAATAATGGGGTCAGCAGGATATATGATGCAGTAAGCAGGGCATAGGACGGGGTCCACAGGGTAGAGGACAGGGGTTAGTAGGGCAAAGGATGGGGTCCGCAGGGCACAGGACAGGGTCCGCAGAGTAGAGGTAGGACGAGGTCCACAGGGCATAGGACAGGGTTAGCAGGTCAGTGGATGGGGTTACTGATGGCAGGACACTCAACAGAACTCTTCCTTCCCACGCTGCACACAGCTGAGATCAGATTGTTTTGCAAACACATGCTCAATCTGCACAGTGTGACTGTAACTGGCGGTTGTAGCTATTCTGCTTTTCTAATCTGAGCCAGCTACAGTCTCACTGTGCAGATCGAGGATGTGTTTGTAAAACAATTTGGTGTCAGCTGTGTACAGTGTGCAACTCCACTACATGTCCAATCCAATGAAGAGGATGAGTGCACTCCGAGGATGGGAGCATTAACTTATCGACCCGTGCAGACTCAGCTTCCGTTGGAGGAGGGGATTGGGCTGTGCTCACCATTCAACACTGCTTCAGTGTCATGCAGGCAAGCAGAGTGAGTTGGGCGGGAATGGAGTCAGGTGGGATATGAACTGGGAAAGAACCGATCATGTTAACCCCTTAAAAGCAGCTGCAACCACCGGCCGGTTTTGCTGATGTGGGAGGTGGGTGTCCCAGGCTTCCCTCACGTGCCATCACAAAAGCAGCTGCGTGCCATGTTTGGCACATGTGGCAGGGGTTGCCGACCCCTGTTCTACACAGTAAAGTTACATTGTCATTTCTATGCCCAATAAGAACTAAAAAGAGTAAAACTGGGAAGAGCAAAGTTTTCAAAATAAGCCAATTATCTATAGGGATAAAACCTTGTTGCATCAACCTTACTGCTAATTATTTTGTAGAGAAAGAGCAACCTTTCAATAAAGAGAACTTTATGTAGCATGGTGGGCAGCAAGATTTCTGTACATGGTTGTTTACAATACTGTATCTTTGGACATAATCCTTAAAAACTAAACGATACCATCTGGGATTAACTGTTGAACCTTAAACTCACTGTACTCACAAACATGCAGAAACATAAAAACACAATAATATGATATTGTTTCAAATATTACAAACTTTAGCAAATTAATGTTTTTGAATAGTTTATTTTATTTAATTCACTTACCATTGGGGCACAAAAACACGCTGTATGTGTATTCTCGGGCTAGGCCCTCTGGCTGGAAAAAAAGCACAACAATATTTGATTTTGAATTTGATTGGAGCCTGTGTAATTTTAAAGGGGTTGAAGTTGTATGAATGAGTAGAAGCATAATGTTGAGCAGGACATACTAGGTGTACATTTCAGTGAAAGGCTATCACCTCCATAACATATGTGAATTGCACTGTTAACACCCATGCTATCCCATCTATAACTGATCCTATCACTTAACCTGACACTGAAAAATTAAAGAGATGATTCTCTTTACGACCGCAGCTAAATTGACCCAACATGTAGCAATCAGTGGGGGGCAAGCCTGCCGAATGCACCAGTCACCCCAGCATTTCCAAAATTTGTCAAAAGTTGCATAAGAATTGGATCTGGGGACAATGATTTTTCATCTTAACCATTACTCTTGACCTCCTCGCTAATGCAAGATGAACACCTAAATGTCTGCATTTATATTATTAATACAGATATATTGTACATACAGTAACGATCCATTAAGGGAAAGGTTTAGCAGTTGCCACATATTCTTTTCCAGCAGAACAACTTAACTTTAGACTCACACATTCAGGCAAGAAAAGCTCAAAAATGTTATTGCAATGCCATGAGTGCTGTAAGACTGAGTGCACACAATTATTTTTAATAACAGGTTTTAATGGGCAACTCTACAGGGATACACTTGGAGAGCACAGACCATAAGACATCATATACCATCCAGGTACAATATTACAGAAATGAAACACAAATGTGGCAATCCTACAGTAAGGTAGTTGAAAACTAAAGATAAGATCACCAACATTAGTGCTAGACACATGTCAAACATGTAATTATCAAAGATATATGCAATGTGCAGACCAGTGTTTTCCAAATGCAGAGAACAGCCCATTAAAGAGAGAGAAAAAAGGGTCTGTCCGATAAGCTGCACAATAAAAAATAAGAGGGGAAATAACTAAGAAAAAAAAGAAAGAGAAAAGAAAAAGATCAGAAGCATCCTATGCAGCCCCACAGGACACCTATACCACCTGGTTAATATTTTGCAGTTCCTCTCTTGTATATGGGTAGAAAGACTTGACTTAAAGAGAGGGAGCACATTTTTTGACATATAATATTGATGCTTGCTTTCTTGCTTCTAAAATTACCATAAGGAATCTAAAAAAAACACTAATTACTATAGTAAACATACATTACTATAAAATGTTATAGCAATTTAGTTATTTTCTGCAGTGTGTTATGTATTTAATTGAAATGGTAAGTAAATTTCCAATGTTTCACGGTTATTTTTCTGGAAACACCACAGTATCACTCTTGTGATTTTGACTGAGAAGTATTTTAGGAGATAAAATTAGTACCAAAATAACTAAATTAAAACATAGATAAATAGTAGGAATGGTCCTAAAATGACTTTGTAATTAAATTTTTTACTTTTTTCAAAAAATGATTATTCATTTGCCCACTCAAAGAACAGCATAAACACATAGCTGCCAAGTGTCCTGATCTGTCTGGGACACTCACGTTTTTCAGCAGCTGTCCCAACACGACCTTTTCCTGGGCTGCTAGAAAGTCATTGGGGTTGATTTACTAAAACTAAATATACTGTGTACTGCCAGTGCACTTCAAGTGGAGTTGCTTTAAATCCGCGGGGAAGCTCTGAAATGAGGCGAAGCTCTGCTGATTTCTTTCATCCAATCATGTGCAAGCAAAAATGCTGTTTTTTAATTTTTTTTGCATGTTCCCCTCAGATCTAGAGCAACTCCACTTGCAGTGCACTTACAAGTGCACTTGGAGTCCACAGCCTATTTACCTTTAATAAATTAACCCCATAGTCTGTCACGGACAGCTACTTAAGTGCATTCAAGTTCTATCGCGTGGGTTCACAAACATATGTCCACAAACTATAATTCTAGATGAGCAGCGTAGCAACCAATAGCACTGCTAATCTGGGTGGGAGAGTTCCTGATGAGTTGCTCTGCCTCTCGCTGACTCTTTCCTAGCCCACAACATTTGACTCAGGAGAAGATGGATGGAGCCAGGCTGGATGGTGGATGGAGAGAGGGACACTTGGACCTGCTTTTAGAAGAAGGTATGGCGCCATTTATATCACAACATGCAGTGCACAGGACGCTGGTACAGAGAGTTATGCAGAAACGGCTGAACATCATCACTAACATTGTGTCACACTTATAATGCTGGCTGCAGAAGTCTATCATCATCATCATCATCATCATCATCATCGGTGTGCTTACCTTTCCAGCATGCAGATTAGGCAATGCTCACACTGATTAGGAAATTATTCCCCTTGCACTTTTCACACTTTTTCCTATCTTTTTATTCATTTACTCTGGACACAAAGCAGGTAAACACACCGATGACTAGGGATAATCCTACAATGCACTGTGCTCTCACAGTGCATTGTGATTGGCCAAAGCAATGCACCTGACCACACTATATAAGGCTGCTTACATAGCAGCATTGTGTAGTGTGTTGCTGGAGTTTAGTGGATAGTTAATGGTGCGTTAGGAGTGTAATTTAGTGTAGGGCAGTGTTGTGAAGAGCAGTGTAGTGGTGTCAGTAATGTGTCAGTGTGTTTTACAGCACCTCTGAGTCACCGCTGTTCCCATTTTTTCTTTCTTTGTTACATTTTTTTTTTTTTTTTGCAGCACCAGGTTCTGTTGCTGTGTCATTAGTGTTCCCCCTTCTGTGGCACAGGTGCTTCTGTGGCACAGGTGCTCCTCTTTCTGCATCAGCAGTGGTTTCCTTCTTATTTTTTTTTTTTGCTTTCCTATTTTTTTTTTTATTAAATTAATCAATTTATTTCTATGTGTGGCGGAAAACTAACACTGCACATCACCCTGAACACACCATCCCCACCATGAAACATGGTGGTGGCAGCATCATGTTGTGGGGAAGCTTTTCTTTAGCAGGAACAAGGAAGCTAGTCAGAGTTGTGGGGAAGATGAATGGAGCCAAATACAGGACAATCTTAGAAGAAGAAAACCTGTTAAGAGTCTGCAAAGACTTGAGACTGGGGCAGAGGTTCAAGTTCCATCAGGACAATGACCCTAAACATACAAGCAGAGCTACAATGGAATGGTTTAGATCAAAACATATTCATGTGTTAGAATGGCCCAGTCAAAGTCCAGACCTAAATCCAAGAGAATCTGTGGCAAGACTTGAAAATTGCTCTTCACAGACGCTCTCCATCCAATTGGACAGAGCTTGAGATATTTTGCAAAGAATAATGGACAAACGTTTCACTTTCTAGATGTGCAAAGCTGGTAGATACATACCCAAAAAGACGTGCAGCTATAATTGCAGTGAAAGGGGGTTCTACAAAGTATTGACTCAGGGGGGCTGAATACAAATGAACGCCACACTTATCACATATTTATTTCTAAAAAAAATTTGAAAACCATTTATTGTTTTCTTTCCACTTTACAATTATGTGCCACTTTGTGTTGGTCTATCACATAAAATCCCAATAAAATACATTTACGTTTTTTGGTTATAACATGACAAAATGTGGAAAATTTCAAGGGGTATGAATAGTTTGTCAAGGCACTGTAATATGAGGTCAAACCTAAACACTTTCAATTTGTATGCAATCAGGCAGGACAGGCCCTTGCACTACAAGGTTGAAGGTAAATCTACAGGAAATTGAAAAAAAAAATTGTATAATGTATTGCCAGCTTTAGTAATAGAACAGACATTAGATGCATATGCATGCATTCAACAAATAAGCATGGAAATGTGCCAAGCAAGTAAAATTCATGAATTATAAATAGTGTATTATATTTATTGCTGCATATATAAATTAGGAATTAGATCTCACCTCCACCATCAAACTTCTGCGGACAAAATCACTCCCAACTGGAGATTTCCTCTCACTAAGAACTTCTTCAGTATATTTGCTGTTCTTCAGACTGTTACTTCCCTCTGAAAGGCAGCTAACTCCTGAAAATGCCAGACCTCTGGCTGGGATATAACAATCCATTAATAAAATCAAATAATTTTATTGAGCAATAAAAACCTAATCAGATGTTCCAAGCCACAATCAAATTATTGATCAGTCTGGTAATTCTATATAGAAATACACAAAGTTAAAAGGCCTCCCATTTTACTTTCTCTCTGTTTATTGTAAATTTCCAATTATCCTTTGCACTGGTGGCACTGTTGATGATGACCTTAGCAGTGGCAGAATCACCAATTCTGCTGGCAATAAAAACCATTAACCAGTAAAGGAAAACGCACAACCATCATACCTCAGTTTTGTACCAAATCAGTAAAAATAAACATAGAGGGGAGGGTCCTTAGTGGACTCCAAAAAAAGGAATTTATGGTGAGTATAAAAATCCTATTTTCTTTTTTCCACTGAGGGACATAGGAGTTCTTTAGACTGTCTAGTGGTCAAAAAGCAGTCCAACAGAAGGGTGGATAACACAGAAAAATGGTTAACAGATGTAAGGGGACGGCCTGAAGGACACAACACCTGAAGCTGGCATCAGATGAGGCCTGAATATCCATCAGATAGAACTTGGAAAACAAATGCAGAAATCCAGGTGGTAGCCTTGCAAACTGGGAAAGGTTGCTTGATGCCGAAAACAACAAGAAGCACTAACAATGAGCACCCGGGAATTTTCCTCCTACATAGAGTGTGGTGGCTACCCTTGGGACATCGGTTGGGCACTGACTTGTACACTAAACCCACAGACAGCAACCAACTACTCCTTTACACTAGTTCTTATCCACAACATGATTTTAAGTCCATAAGCCAGTGTGCTGCATTGTTTCAGAAACACACTTAAGGGATCTTTGGCTTAAAGAGATGCAGCAACGTTTTTGGAAAGGGACTATACTCGATCACTTAGTGATCAGAAAATACAGAGGGGATTTTTGAATCCACTCTTCAGCACCTTAAACAAAATGAGTCCCCTTCTCCACATAATTTAATGCCCGCAACCAATTTATATTTGAGGTAATCAAACAACACTGGTGGATACTTATGGAGGTCCAGTATATCCAGATATCCCGGAATTCAAGCATTATCCAATTCAGGCATTCAGACACAATAGAAGTTTATAGGATTGGTTGATCAAAGCCGATTTTCAAAAGGAGGCCATAGCAGAGTTAATACTATGGCTAGCAACTTAGTGAACACCCGAGATACAGAAGAGAGGTTGAAGTGCAGAGCCACAAAGTGGAAGTGTAGGGAACTGTAGGAAACATAGATGTGCTCAAAATATGGGGACAAGCAGGTATGCATCACTGGTAGCCAAATATGTCAGAAGGTCTCCATGGTGAAGAGTGGAAATGACAGATATTGTGGATTCCCTGGGAAATTTCTGGATGAAGACAATCAGAGCTTTGAGATCCAAGGTGGGGTGAATAACCCCTTTGGGTATGATTGGAGTAAAACCCCTGAAATCATTCTGCCATAGGAAGTGACATAATCCAAATAATCCTAGGGGACTCAATATGATTTGCTAATCTGTGCGGCTACACAAGAAGTTTGATGGTGAGAAACCTAGGAGAAGGCTGGTAGTGAAACTCCAGTTTGCAGCCCTGGGATACAACCTCCTGCACCCAAGCATCAGAGATGCAAGTGTCCAGGCATCTGCAAAGGTTATTTTTGATAGAATTTTGAGTGCCAGACCTTGCGGCCAGACAAGGAACCAGGCTTGGAAGGTATAAGCAAGAAACTAGAAAAAAGAAAGTAATGTTTCTTAAAAGTTATAAGGAAGGAAGACTTAGCAGTCTTTGCCTTAAATGTCTTCCACTGAGGAAGATGGGTGCTCTTGCTGCCAGTAGCATCCTAGATATCTAGTATCTAGAATCGACTTGAAAAAACATTGTCCCTTGAAGACTATGTGGTACAAACGCTTCAAATACAAGAATTCCACAATACAGCACCTTAACCATGGTGTTCACACATGGGAACTGACATAACACCGCATGATGGTAAAACTGAGAAGATTTTAATTGACAAGTACAGCTAAGATGAAAAATTATATTTATTTATCCATGGGTACTATTAGCAGCAGTGGAGAGATCTCTTTAAGGGATGATGACCAGCTAGTCATGGTTTAACAATGTGCAAACACAAGCAGAATGCGGTGTTTCCATATTTCCCAATGAAGTAACCAACTAAGGGTAGACCTTTTGACACACTCATTATTTTGATTGCAATAGCTGCAGAAATAAATCGGTCAAAACAATTCTTCCTTCAGAGTGGACACAGAATCCAAACCAGAAAAGTCCAGTGATCTGAGGTGGTGTCCAGCCGACAGCTGAACTAGACCATAAGGAATGTCCTAACACAAGAGCCAAGTAGAACTAAAACCTGTGGTTCACTTGCATATTCAGAGTGAACACATTTCTGCATGACAGAGATAGAAGTGAAGGCCAAACAAAATTAATCTGAGGGTTAAGACTAGTGGTGCACCAAAATGAAAATTATGGTGCCAAAACCGACACCGAAAATTCAGAATGCATGTGGCCGAAAACCAAACCGAAATGTCTGCGTATATGGGGGTGGGGAGGCTCCAATTTTTTTGTATTTTTTCTACTTTAATGTATTTTTTTATTTATTTTTATTAACTTATGATTTTATTGCTATCACATAGGTGACCAATAGTCAGTCAAAACTGGCTGCCTATATGTCAGTGCCGGTTTTTAAATGTAATTACCATCTTTTTTTTTCTTCACTCAGAGAATGAGTCACTCTACCAGAAGCTAAAGGAAACAGAGGGGCGGGTCATTGGGTAATGTCACTGGGTGATCCCGCCCCTTTGTTTCCTTTAGCCCTCCGAGAATGACAGCTCATTCTCTGACCTATAGTGAAGAAAAAAAAGCGCCGGTAATTACATTTAAAAACTGGCACTGACATATAGGCAGCCAGTCACTGTATACACTGCTCCTCTCCTGCCTTTCCTTTGCTGCCTCCCCCCTTACCACATCTGCAGTACACACAGTCTCCTGTATCAGCACCTGTATCGGCTAAATTTTTCCTATCGGCAAAATGCTGATAGGGCTATTTTTTGCTAATATACTTTGGCAGCCGAAATTTCGGGGCATCACTAGTTAAGATCAAAACTAATCCCCCAACTGCCCAGATACACCACAATACCAGAGGCATTGAGGGGGCCTTAAATAGGACTATGCCTTCTTACTTAGTATACTTAGTATACTTATATACTTAGTTGTTACATAGAGCGAATTCTGTACAACCAGGGTGCCCATACATGGATAAACCTTTGTCCCTTGGCTTTACTGTGATCTGCATTAGCATAGATCCTCTGATCTCTAAGCATGGATGCGGTGGCTGTTCAAAAAGAAGTTACAACAGAACATAAACATTTGGTAAACTAGAGTTGAATTATGACTGCTGTAAGATTAGTATGAGAAACTATAGGCATATTCACTGAGCCAGAGACCACCCTAAACTGCCTTCACAGCAGGATTTTTTGTTTTTCGCTTTCTCTGCAGCTTGCACGCCATTGGTAGAGACACCTGCCTAATACTTGAGCTGCGCACCCTCCTAGATAGAGGCGAGTCATTTATAGGGAGAAGAAAGAGGCAGGAAAAATAAACAGTAACAGACTCCCCTTGTTAGCCTTCAAAAGAAATAAAGAGCAAAGCTCCCCCATGTGGCCAACTTGTAAAGTACATAAAGTACAAAACAAGCCCATAAAAAAAATGTCCACCATCTTCTGGTTCACTCAGTAGTTGCTCTGAAATAAGCTGATGATTTTAAAATAAAACCATTAATCCCCTGTGGTTTCCTGTTTGTAAGACCAGTGGCTGTTATGCTTCCTATTCCCCCAGCCTCTGGTCTTGGCCCAGCCCCTCTGTAGTTCTGTCTCCAGGAAGCAGTGATGTATTTTCTTCCTGCTCACTGTAGAGGGTGGAGTCAGACTCCTGGTCTGTACCTCCCACCCAGGCAGTGATCTAAGAATGACAGCTCAGGACACTCTGGGTCTGTCCCGCCTCCCATAGCTTCAGCTACGAGTCTCTGCACCTCCTCCACTAGTAACAGCATATATACTATACATACTAGGGATGCATGCATATATCGGCGGCCTAAAATAGTGGTAGCGGAATTTGCCGATAGGAAAAAAGGTGCTGATAATAGCCACCAAAAACAAGATTTTACCTGGGAGTTTGCCGCAATTTTACCCACGGTTTTTCAGTGTTTTTATACCTGATTTTGCCACAACTTTACCCAGAATTGTGGCGCAATTTTGCTGCATTTTTACCCATGATTTTACAGCAATTTTACTCAAAATTCTGCTGCGATTTTACCATGATTTTACATAAGTCATGTGACTCAAAAAAATGCACCAAAACCTAATCACGTGTGTTCTTGATGCATTTTTGTAGCGTTTTCAATGCTTTTCAGGCCTGATTTACACCAATGCAGTTTGAGTTTTGTCCTTTTTGTAGTGCTTTTTGCAGTGTGTTTAGTGGTTTTGCATGCGCATTTTTGACGCTTTTTTAAAGCGTTTGGCGTTTTTGGAATTTTTCTTTTTTTTTGGCCCATGGTTGCTGGGCAGATTAAAAACACACAATACATAAAAAATTTAACATATGTGCGTTTTTGCTGTGTTTACAATGCATTTCAGGCCTGGTTCAGAACAATGCAAAAACCATTGCAGTCTGCATATTGTCCTTTTTGCAAAACGTTTTGCAATTTTGGGTGCCGGGGGAATCCGGTGTGTCTTGAGTCCTGCAAAGTCCCTGTGTGAGTGAATCTTCATGGCGTACTACTATGATGATGCGAGCCATTTCCTTTAAGGTGGAATACATCCATTTTGACATCATTTATCCATGGTGGAGAGGGACCAGTGGAGCTATCCCTGTATGCTGTGAGGGGCCAGTGATTGATGCCTGGGGTCTTTCCTTCGTGCTGTCATTAAGCCAGTGGAGTTCCTTTCCTGTGTCCACACATTCACCATGGAGATCTTGGATATGGTTCT